TCCAACTTTTTGTGCCCCTGCTCGCAACCTGGGTACAACGAAGTTCTGTGGTCCTCCAACATCTTGTCCAATTTATGGGCCTCCTTTTCACTTTCGCAGTCCTCCCTGGCGTGCTACAACATCTCACCAAGATCATCCGCAACGTCGTTACCATCAGCAGCTATTTCCTCCTCGCCCGTTTGATTTTCTTCAAATCCAACATACTGAGCAAATTCCGGAATATTGTCGTCTTCCACTTCATCTTCTTCCATTTCAACACCTTGCTCTCCGTGGGATGTCCAACAATTATAGCTTGGCATGAACCCCGACTCAAACAAGTGGAAATGAATAGTCCTGGATGTAGAATACTCCTTCTGATTCTTACAATTATTGCATGGATAACAAATAAAACCCCTTTGCCTGTTAGCTTCGGCCACTCTCAAAAAATAGTGCACGCCGTCAATAAACTCTTTGGACCGCCGGTCAGTGTACATCCATTGCCGATCCATCTACATGAGTCAAAAAAAACCATACACAAATAATTATTCTTACAATAATGACAGTCATACAATAATTATAAGATATCTTTATTCATACAAAAATCATAAAATATTACACCAAATAATTCTTAAAAACTATTTGTAAAGTTTTAAACTAATTTTAATGTGTTTTACTTCTTTTAATTTTCATTTTAGTTTGTTTTCTATTATTTAAGATTAACTTTCACTAGAGTTTTCCTTCTCAACTATTTTATAAAACCTTGTTTAGCAAATGAACTAAATTTCTATATATTCTTTCTTCCCCACACACATTTTCTCTCTCATCAACTTACAACTAAATTTTGGAGACAAAAAAAGTGTGCAAAACATAGGTGCAAATATAGTATGACAAAATAAAACATTGGAGGATGAAGTTGCAAACATTTTAGGCACCTCCGATTTGTATGTAATCACCAAAATAAATTCAATATAAATTTTGGCATGACCTCCCCTCTTTTTTGAAGAAATTTTGAAGCTTGCTCGGGCAGCTGGAGGAGGAAGAAGACATATATATAGGGGTGGGACTTTAGTCCCAGTTGGTAGCACCAACCGGGGCTAAAGATCACAAGGATCTTTAGCCCCGGTTGGTATTACCAACCGGGACTAAAGTTACGATTTTTAGTCCCGGTTGGTAATCCCGGGGGGGCCTGACATGCCCTGACAGCATTCGAACCGAGATTAAAGATGATCTTTAGTTGTTACCAACCGGGACTAAAGATCAAATATGCCCGTTACCCTTTTGAACCGGGACTAAAGATCATCTTTAGCCCCGGTTTTTATTGCATCCGGGACTATTGTGGAAATCGGCCGATCAACGAAAGATGGTTTCTCCACCAGTGCGGTCTCCCAAAAGTAACTTTGACAACTATTTTCTATTATAATATATATGAAAATATCAACAAATATATGGTTTTATTGAAGTACATTTTAAGGCAAATCTACACATATGGTTTTTATATTTTTAAGATAAATATTTTAGAAATTATTTGCAGTCAAATATTTTAAAGTTTGATTTTACCCTTGTCCAAAACGACTAATATTATCAGCCCGGAGGGAGTAGAATATGTAGCATCATGTTCTACATGTATAAAACTGTCATCAGGTAAATTAATTTTCAGGCATTCTGTTACACCATATCTAACTCTTTTACTAGGAAGATGCTACCGGGCGTTTGCATGTTGTTGAAGCACATAAGGCAACTGGTTTTACTCTGAATCGTGAGAGCAGCGTCTTTGAGGAGAACAAACAATTATGCAGTAGGTGCCAAGTCTGTGGACAAGAAGGTTCGGTAAAGGTTAACTACTAAACCTTAACTACTCCCTCCGTTCCAAAAAAAAAAAACCAACCTAGAAATAGATGTGACACATTTTCAGATTCGTTGTACTAGAATGGATCACATTTCCTCCTAGGTTGTTTTTTTTTACGGAGGGAGTACTTCTGCTGACACTTGGATCGATCAAAATTTAATATTTTTTGTCAAAAAAGAGAGAAATAATTTATCTTCATGATGATGAGTTCTTGATTCTACAGGTAGTTGGATTGGAGCGAACTGAGCGGGTTCTTCCAACCGGCACAACATTTACTGTTGTTGGTGAGGTAATCCGTCAATTTTCGTTCATCAGTTGGAGCGAAATTTGTTGACAGATCTTGTGAAATTTCTGTTTGCTACTCCCCTTCGTCCCAAAAAAAGTCTAGTTTTATACTATTCATTATTTAAAAAAATTTATGATTAGTATTTGCATTGTTAATACATGACAAAACATGACTAGTACTTTTTGTGTGACTATTTTTTTAAAAAAAATTTCATAAATTTTTTAAATAAGATGGACGGTTAAACATTGGACATGGATTCTCACTACTACTGTTATTTTAGGATAGAGGTAGTAATAACCATATATTATTGTGATTAAATAATGGACCTTAATTAATGCATTCTTTTCGATCGGACAGGCTTACAAAGATCGCGGAACAGTTCTGATTAAACGGCCAAGAGAACTTGGACGGTTTTACGTTTCACGGAGAGGCATCGATCAGATTATCTCAGACCTTAAGGAGGCTTCCACGTAATTAATCGATCGAGACGCTGCATGATATACTATGAGCTCTTCTTCTGTTGAAATTTATTGATTATATTTATATCGCGTGCTTAATTAATTTGCTGCTCAACTGCAGGGGTAAAGACGCAACGGCAGCGATTTTTGCATTCTGCGGCGGTGTTCTTCTTGCGTTCCATGCACTGCTGTAACTAATGGTCGATCGAGATCGCAGATGATGATCATGACCAGCTAGCTGGGAAGGAATTAAGTAGCGGCAGAAAAGGCACCAGAAAATGGATTTGTTATTTCAAGGATGTCTTCTCATAGCTATTAATTATTTATTTACTCTTCATGAACAAAAATCAATCAAATTGCATGAATTCACTATATATTAGCAAGATGTCCGTGCGTTGCAACGCTGTCTAGGACTATAGAAGTTACATGTCCTAAGCTCATTTCTTAAATTGAGGCTTATAATAACTTGAATTAGTAAAGCACACACGTACATTCCCTATGATTCGGACCAAACTGAAATATTGTTCCTATCGGTTGTCCATAAAGGTCGGTTTTTTTGACAAACAGAAACATAGAACGAACAGGATTTGCAGAAATTCTTCTTTCAGATATATGAACAGAAGATACTAAAATGAGCAGAGATTGGATAATTGAGAATTACTCTTACACCAATATCTTTTTTAATTCTCGAATTGCTCTTACACCAATATCTTTTCGAAAATGCTGGGGATCGGACGCCCCTTCCCGTGCCTCCCGAACCTCCGCACCGTCCCCACCACATGCGCTGTTGCAATAAATTACCTACATATTATGGAAAAGCTCAGGGAATTCGTTTTAATTTTTGTTCCACCAACAAAGTTTCAATAAGTGTACTCGTGATGTTTCACTATGTATAGATCAAATGTTGTAGTGAATTGAAACATCATTTCGCTATTTGCTGAAACATTGTTTTTATATATGGTGAAACAACACCCGATTTTTGGAAACTGTTTATTTCATACGTTGTAACAAAATGTTCCAGGATGTGTTTCAGTTTTTTAAATGATTGAAACATTTTTGATCTACTTAGTTAAACAATTCCGATCTACTTGGTGGAATAGCGCCTAATTTTTATTACAAAAATCGGACGTCCGATTTATAGGCGCCCCGGTATCTTTTTTAAGATTCTCTTTTGCGTTATGTTAATCTCCTCCACGTTTGGAGGCCACACCAGTGTGCAAACAATGAAGGGAAAGGAATTGAAGAAACGTATGCTGCAAGATCGTGAAGGTACGTACATGTTTGTCCAAATGTTTAAGTATGAATTTAGTTTTAACTCGTTTCAATAATACTTATGTTAATCTGGTAGTGGTTAGTAACAAAGTTAGCAAATTGTTTTCAACTATATTAAACACAAGACGATACTGGTTATTCCAGCTATGTTCATTCATTGTTGTTAGGAGCAACATGGTTTTGTTGTTAGGAGCAAGAAACAAATTCGACATCTGATATCTGATCGACGGCCATGGTTAGTTGATGGCACAGTTTTCTGCTCCCCTATCTGTTTTCGTAGGACTGTTGATACGTCGCTGTTCGTTTGTTAGTTCTTCGTTGTCTTCATGTCCAAAGTAATTTGGAAATGGTAGGAACATCTGTGTATATATAAGAATTAAATTAGACTAGATCAACTGTTCATGATTCATACTAAACCTTTTTGTGATGTATGACAATGCAACTGAATTTGCCACGCAAGCAAGCTCAACGCTGGTGCTCTGTGGCTGCAGGCATCCAGGTGGAGCCCCTCCCGTAGCGAAGCCGCCTCATATTAAAGACGCAGAGCACAAACCTACAAAAAAAAAAGATCGAATCATTGAAGAAGTCTCTCTAAAGTGTAAAACGCAACTAATCTTCGTCCTCTTCCCAGACAGCCTTGTTGTTGAATAGAGCAATTTGGCATTGCATAGCCATCAATTTACATTATCTTAAATCTCATATGGAATAAAATATTTTTTCCGAATTACCTCATCCGGTTTAATATATGACGTTTAGACATGCGTTTCATCATTCATGTAAACTAATTATTTTTTATTACAAGTATGTAAAAAAAAGTCATGCCTAAAGCACTTATAATAATAGAACAAACCACAAAAAAAAAGTGATAACTATATTTTTTAAATAAAACAAGTAAACAAATATACATTAAAAGTCAACAGCGTTAGACATTAAAAACCGGCGGAACCATATGGCAATTATACCGATTTATATGAAATTCTTGTATTCCGTATTTTTTGCGGGATAACTTATAACACACTTGTAACACAAGTATAGCTTCCATGAAAAAGAAAAAAAACACAAGCAGCTAACAAAAAAAAAAATGGAGGAAATTGGTGAACCAAGAATGGGCAGGGCAGCCATGCACCTGTTTGTTGTTGTTGTCGTCGTCGTCTTCTCCTACCTTCCCTCCCGTCCCTCCACCGCGCATGCACGTACGTACCCGCCATTGCTGCTGCCAACCCTATTCCTCTCTCTTCCACCGCTCCGCCTTCCTTTGATCCTTTCCCCACCATCTCCAATGGTGGCCCCCCTCGTCGCCTAGAGCACCGACCCCAACGTTGCCCAAGGACCAGGGTGGCCACCTCTCCTCCTCCCCCCGCCGCGGTCCCCCCTCGCCGCCGGCTCGCCGGCGACGAAGACGTCGTCGTGCCCCCACCACCACCACCACCACTCGGCCACCCACCGGTCCTTGTCCAATTCGCTCTCTCCACCCCCGCCCGCCGCGCGGTCGTCGTAGCAACGGCCGCGGGCACCGCCACCATGGCGCGCTGCGGGAGCGCCATCGCCGCCGTCGCGGCGCTGCTCGTCCTGCTCGGCGGGCACGCGGCCGCGCGCATCCGGGTGGAGCACTCCGGGATGGTGATCCGGCGGCCGTCGTCGTCCATCCCGAGCTTCCGGGAGGCCCCCGCGTTCCGCAACGGCGAGGAGTGCGGCGGCGGGGGGAGGGTGGACGTGGCCATGACGCTGGACGCCAACTACCTCCGGGGCACCATGGCCGGCGTGCTGTCCATCCTGCAGCACACGGCGTGCCCGGAGAGCGTGTCGTTCCACTTCCTCGCGGCCGGGATGGACGCCGACCTCGCGGCGGCGGTGCGCGCCACGTTCCCGTACCTGGACCTCCGCGTGTACCGCTTCGACCCGTCCCGCGTCCGCGGCCGCATCTCCCGCTCCATCCGCCACGCGCTCGACCAGCCGCTCAACTACGCGCGCATCTACCTCGCCGACACGCTCCCGCCCGACGTGCGCCGCGTCATCTACCTCGACTCCGACGTGGTGGTCGTCGACGACATCCGCGCGCTGGCGTCCGTCGACCTCGGCGGCCACGTCGTCGGCGCGCCCGAGTACTGCCACGCCAACTTCACCAACTACTTCACCGACGCGTTCTGGTCGGACCCGGCGCTCAACGGCACGTTCGCCGGCCGCCGCCCGTGCTACTTCAACACCGGCGTCATGGTCATGGACGTCGGCAAGTGGCGCGCCGGCGGCTACACCCGCCGCGTCGAGCGGTGGATGGAGGTGCAGAAGCAGACGCGGATCTACCACCTCGGCTCGCTGCCGCCGTTCCTCCTCGTTCTCGCCGGTGACATCCAGGCCGTCGACCACCGCTGGAACCAGCACGGCCTCGGCGGCGACAACGTCAAGGGGCGGTGCCGTGGCCTCCACCCGGGGCCCATCAGCCTCCTCCATTGGAGCGGCAAGGGGAAGCCATGGATCCGGCTCGACGCGCGGCGCCCGTGCGCCGTCGACTACCTCTGGGCGCCGTACGACCTCTTCCGGCCATCGTCGCCGGTGCTCGAGGAGTGAGCAGCAGCAGCATCGAGCCATGCACAAGCTAAACTGATCAATCTCCTACTTTGTTCTTGCAGAAGCTTAAAAGATTTTTTTTAAAAAAAAAGAAAGAAGTTGGCAAGAACATGATGAAGAAATTGATTTTTCTTCAAAGGAAAAGGAGAAGAAATTAATGTGCAATCAGCAATGGGTGCTATGATCTGTGCTGCTAGCTGCTGTTTTGGGGGGTCTCGATTGGGAAATTAAGCAAAAATCGATGAGGATATGAACGTGCGAATTGCTTCATGATCTCTTTGGTTTATCTTGTATAGGACACAATGTTGTAATTAATTTTGTGAGGATTAGTGTGAATACTGGGAGCTAGGTGGGGGAAGGAACCGACTTACTCTGACAAATGTATGTACTATACTAATTGTACTATAATATGGTATACTCAGATTTTGTTAATGCAAATTGCAAACACAGAATACACAAAATGAGTAATTGAGCTGAATATAGTTACCGGTGAATTTAGACTATGCAAATTTTGCTACAGGACATCACGACTTTATGGTTTTAACTGTAGGACACCGCACGAAGTGAGTTTTGGGGGAAAGCACTCTGAAAATTAGCTTGTGGACACCGCGTGCATTAGAATATTCATTTTGGCTGGATAGGAGAGAGAAATTGCGTGAAAGTACTAAAATACCCCTGAGCCCACATGTCAGCTCTTTCATCTCTCTATTTGTATCTCTCGCACTAAAGGGTGCCCATAGTGCAGTGTGGCATCCCTCCTCCTCCCGACGCGACTCCTGGCGAGAGATCGCTCCTGCGGCCGCCTCGAGGGAGTGAGCTAGACAGGGGTCTCGATCCCGTTGGCTGCGTCGGTGGTGGTGGTTGGGTGGGGGGCCATCCATGGCGATGGCCTGGATTCGGGCGGGTTGACCATGGATCCCGTCGAGCTCTCTCCCTGGCAAGGCGGCGATAGTGTCGTCGCCAGACAAGTTCTTCTCGGTGATCCTCGTTGTCTCCGTCATCGGATGGGTCGTCTTCATGTCATAGTTATTAAGACCGGACCGATGATCGAACCGTTAAGGCAGTCGGGTCACTGGTTTATTGGTTGGACCGGTCAAACCGCCGGTTTAAAGAGGTTCAAATAGATGTGTGTTATGGTTGTTTCACAACCCATCACATAGCCTGGTGGTAGAGATTCTCGGTAGAAGCATGGAGGTTGTGGGTTCTACTCACAAGCTCTGCAACCTTTTTACCTAGTTTCTCTAATTCACGTGACGCCTGTACTCTGCAGCGTCGCCACCTTTTTACCTAGTTTCTCTAATTCACGTGACGCCAGTACTCTGCAGCGTCGCCACCTTTTTACCTAGTTTATCTAATTCACGTGACGCCAGTACTCTGCAGCGTCGCCACCTCCACGTGTGACGCCGTTCGAGCGGTCGAACCACCCCTGTTTTTCACCGGTTCTGCAGTAAACCGCCCGGTTCAACCGGTTTATCGCCGGTTTGATTGCGTGCCGATCTTTTATCTGAACCGGACTGGCCGGCGCCCTGGTTCCGGTTTTTCCCGGTCGGACCGCCGGTCCGGTCGGGTTCTAATAACTATGCTTCATGTAAGTCGTTTCTTGGGAATGTCGCTTTGGGGTTGTCGAATTGGGGACTGTGGATCATGCATTTGGTTCGAGTGTTTATGAGGCCACAGTTGCCCATGCAGGTAGTGTGATTTTGAGTTTCATGGACTAGGCGGTCAAGGTGCTCTGCCTCCTCCCGCCCTTGTGCACGCGGCAGACCTCCCGACAGTACAACGTGCTCGTCGAGACGCTTCTGTGCGAGAGAGGTAAACAGAGAGAGATGGAAGATATGTCATTTGGGACCAGGGGTATTTTAGGATTTTCATGCGGTTTCTTTCTCCTATTCAATTAAAAATGAATATTCTAATGGGCGCGGTGTCCACAAGCTAATTCCCATCTTTACATAGCGTCTTTCCCCAAAAGTCACTTCGTGCAGTATCCTACGGCTGAAACCGCGAAGCCACGATGTCCTATAGCAAAATTTGCCTTTAGAATATGGTCACGTTGATATGATTGTTTAATCTACAGCTGATAAGCCATAAAAAAAAATGAAGCAACACAAATATTTGGAGTGAATTTAACAAAACTACACACACTTTGAACAGGCTATTGTAAAACTATAGATTTATTAAGACATAGTATTACACACTACAAATTTAGTATTAAATTTATCAAAAAACTATAGATTTAAGAATAGAATGAGAGTCATCACAAAACAACAGATTTTGTATTTTAAATCTTTAGCACTATTGCTATGTTGAAGCTACAAATATTGTAGTTTGGTAATTAAATTAGCGCCAAACCTGTAGTTTTATGATAATTTTGTTATCAAATCTATAGTTTTCTGATACTTTTTAAATCTATAATTTTACGATAATTTTGTTGCTAAATCTATAGTTTTATGATACGCCGATTTAAATATTTAGTTTTGTGATAATTTGGTCAACATATCTGTAATTTTGTGAAATTTACTCAATAACTTATGGTGGTCTAGGAGTGAGCAGAAACTAGCCATGCAAACAAACATAACTACATGACTAGGTTACTCAACCTATCAATTCTAGGAGAAGCTAAGATAAAAAAAATGCAAGGAAAACAAGAAAAACAAAAGTTGGAGATCACATGTTCTTTTGCATGTCAACGGGGGCAAAGGCAAGTCTAGAGTAGCTACTATGGCTTAAGCCATAGTCTTATCTCCAAAATTAAGTTTAGATCCATTTAGATCACAAGTAAATTTAGGAGAAAATCAACAACCTATCAATTAAGCCATAGCTTAGTCTTAGGCTTCAATAATTTCTAGCTCCGCCACCGCATATCAGATGCATCGATATAGAAGAGCTTTACCGTAAAGGCAATATGGCATGAACCTATTGCCCGTTGGCCCTCTTTCGGCTATTATAGGACCATATATTCAACCATATATTATGGTTTCGATGAATAGGACCATATATTCAACCATGTATTGTGGTTTAGACGAATGTTGAATATATGGTCATATTTGTCGAAACCATAATATGTGCACTCCTACTGCTGTTGCTTTTTTTTCTTCTTCTGTAAATCCGGTTTGGATGCTGATGTTCACAATTTTCTTTGACTATTTGTACACATGAAGTTGTGTAGTAATTCTCATTGAACCAAGACATCATTAAGGATATGCACCTATGTTATGCTGGAGCATGACTTATGCTTATATTTATAAGTCAAAATTTAAACTTTAGAACTTAAAGTTTGAATTTGATTTTTTTTCATTGTAGTTTATTTGACATCATTTTCATTTGAGTCGTTAAGAATACATATATAAAAGTTTTCCTCACGAATGATCTTTTATTTGCTAATAAGCGATTCGGATAAGCATTTGAATAAACAAAACAATGGGTAAAAAACATCATCGAAAGGAAGAGAAGAGAAACCAAAAATAAAAATAAAAAGGGAAAAAAGAAGCAAAAAAGTTAAATAAGAGGGGGTTAAAGGCAAAACGGCCCTGGGCGGGGGTTGCCTTGCCAATAAGAAAGGGCCATCGCAGCCGCCTCTCTGACCCGCGATAGCATAGCAACACCGTAATTCCGTTCCGTTCCGTTCCGTTCCGTCGCCCCCCCCGGCCGGCGAGGGCGAGGGCGATGTCCTTCTTCTTCCGCATGGCGTCGCGGCTGCGGCCGTCGACGCCGGAGGAGGTGGTCCGCTCCATCAAGGACTCCTTCCAGGCCCTCCACACCAAGAACGGCGCCAGGGTAAAAATCCCCCTTCTCCTCTCCTCTCTTCTCCTCTGTTTTTCCTCTTCTCTTCTTGGCCCGCCGCTCGCCGCCGCGTCCGACGATCAAGGCAGGGGATCCGTGCGTGCCCGATCCCGGATTAGCCCCCTTCATCACGCATGCAGCTGGAGGTAGATCAAAACCGGCGATCTTGCTGCCCGTTGGTCGGATGGTAAAGACTTTTCTTTCCTCGGCGTGAGGATCATTTCTTCGTAATTGAGGGGCACCTGAGCCTTTTAGCGGTGAGATTGCTCATTGCGGCCTATTGTTGGCGAGATTATCTCTGGGCATGTCAGTATATGTTTAAGTGGGGAGATGCAGCGTTATTCATTGTAATTCTCGAACCAAAGGTTTCAGCAAACCTGGTGATAATAGTACGAGTTCCTTTTTTGTGCTTTTTTTTTAAGTCTTGTGGTTGTGGCAGAATGTGTAATTGTGTATTATTTCGGTAGATTGTTCAATGGTCCAGAAACCAGTGAATTTTAGATCAGGATGATTGTAAGGTTTGCTGTGCTCAGTCATGTCATGATATTGTTCATCATGTTTGTTCACTCTATTGTGAAGATTTCTTGTACTGCTGTACATAGTTTGAAATTCCGAATGCATCCTGATTCACTTTTTTAACATTAGGCTCTAGAAGAGGTTGAGAAAAACCTCTCGTCATTGAGGCAAATGCTGTCTGGTGATGGAGAAGCAGAACCAAATCAAGAACAAGTCTTGCAAATAACCCTTGAGATTTGCAAGGAGGATGTCCTTTCCCTCTTTGTTCAGAATCTGCCTTCGCTTGGTTGGGGAGTAAGTGTTTTATCACTTAAAATCTGTTTGCATTCTCCATTTAACCAGCCTGTTGAAATCGTTAGCTCTGAATTGCAGGTACGAAAAGATCTGGTTCACTGCTGGTGCATTTTGCTCAGGCAGAAGTTTGATGAGAGCTACTGCTGTGTGAAGTACATTGAGAACCATCTGGAGCTTTTAGATTTCCTAGTTGGCTGGTAACACATCAATTTCTTGACTTAATATCACAGATAATCTTTCGAACTTCTAGTACAATTCTGTAGTAATAACATGATCGTTCAGATATTTACAGGATATTGACTACTCACGGCCTTTAGTCAGTCAGTTGTCACATTTTCTCCTTTATAAACTTTTGTAATTGTTGGTTATTGCTTTAGCCATAGCGTACATTCAAAGTGTCCTGCACTTTGGAGCCTAGCTTGTGGTTTCTTGGTCATTTTCTGCCTACAGTGTATCTTTTGAAGGATAATTATAATTGATCAACTCTTGTGACAGCTACAAGAACTTGGACGTTGCACTGAATTGCGGGAACATGTTGAGAGAATGCATAAAATACCCAACACTTACAAAGTAAGGGTTTAAAGTTTCCATTCAGTTGGGACATTATTCTGTCTTGCAATTTTACTAACATTATCGTGCCTGCCTTTATTTTACATGATATGTGGTTAATCCTATATAAATGTCTAAGGTATGATATTAAATGAACAAGTGCTTGAACTGTTGATTTTTCTTTCGTTTGCTACGAACTCTCTGGTTTTAAATGACAATGAAACATAAAAATGGCTTATTATTTAATGGCAGTAATCATGAAAAACAGAATTCTAACATCATGAAAGTGATTTCCTATGTTTGTGCCTGCTACTAAAAAACCACTGTTGCACCTTATGCATTGTTAATTTGTTATATAATATTTATGTTACTAGACATGTCTTTGTTTCTTCAATAGTATTATTATATTGGTAGGCTAATGTTTCTTCACCAGAATTATAAGTCTGTCACCACTTAACGTTTCAAAGAAGCTTTGCACGCTCACATCCTTCCGATTTTTTTATTTATAAGAACTAATCCTTCACAAATTAAATAAGTAGTAATTATCTGTAGGGATTTACCAAAGTAGTAAGGATGCTATTGTCATCAGCGTCCAGGTGTGGACGCTGTTAGAATACACGTCCAGCTCGGGACGCACTTCCTAACAGCGTCCACAGTCTGGTGCGACCCAATGTGCCTTACCACGCCGGCCACTGCAAGTGCTTGTTGACATCTCCTGCTAGCGAGCCTTCGTGTTGTCCTAAGCAACGTTAGCTCGATCACTTTGTTGGCGATTGAGCATGTTTAATTACTTAATTATATGCTATCACTGCCTTTGAAGTGCCCACGCATGCGTTAGCTTTTTCTTTATCTGGTCCGGCTGCCTCTAAAACAGATATATAGCTTGTTGTTGGATCAATCAATTTGTAGTTATATATAGGTATGTCGATTCATTTTAATAGCGCTGCACATCGTATCAACGTAATATGGTTCTAGATAAATTATACTCATATATTTCAATAATCTAGCCAACTGTGTCAATTACAAAGACAGGACAAACAATCTGGATAGATACAATGCGTTCTTGCATCAACCAGGCAAACAAAACGATTCAAACCAAGTATATATCCGGACACTAGATAAGTTCTTATACATACGAAGAAACATCCACAATCTAAAAAAGCTCACTTAAATATATAAGCTAGTTGCACTGTGCTTCTTGAAACTTTTCTTGGCACTCAACTACTTGTGTTGAACTTCCCGAAAACGTAAATCAAACGAAAATGTTAGTTTTACCAAGATGAAGTAAGGCAGCTAGCTGATTCTCACAGAGTTACTGTTTGTTTTGTTGAGTCACTAGCTTGGCCTCCGCTATCTTCTGTGTGGGCACTCCTATCTCCATGCTCTATACTGCAATCCTGAGTATACCCAATAGTCAAATACTTCATTGTATTGATAATTTTGGAGAACTTGACGTTTAAATGCAAAAAACTGAGGGCAAAAAGAAGTTGAAGAAATAGGTAGACTAAAAACATTTCTCGTATTCTGAAATCTTTATACTTTGCGTGCTGACCATGAGGCATCCATATAACAAATCACTGAGATAATTAGTAGTCATGCACCTCTGGTAGTTTGTATTTTCATAAACGCTTTCCCGTGCTAGACATTTCACAAAAGTTAGTAACATTACTATTAGATTCATCTTCCATGTTGTACATATGAAAAGGAAGTATATAGCATAAGAGTCGAGTATAATTATAAAACTGAATATATCATCAGTTCCATTTATGCATGGAAGTAGTATCGACTGTATGGACTGCTGTTGTAGGACTAGCACATATATAAGGACTTTGAAAGACACTAGGAACCAGATCCAATCAAACATTTTAGTAATGTGATGGTCAGGTTAATATATATACTCAATACAAAAGGCATGAATTAATGAACCTTCGAGAACACCTTAGGTCTGAATCCCTCATGTTCCTCTGCAGCTAGAAATGGGATGTGTTTCATGTAATAATCCTGATATCAAAATTCAGTATGATAGAGCTTATTTCTGTGCTCTACAGAAATTAGTGACCAGCATATTGGAGATCAGTCCATCAACAAACGAATATCAGAAGGCAGGAAAAATGCATGATGTCACCTGCATCTTGGCAAAGAGTAGTATGAACAGGATGTCAGGATTAACTTCAATAAGTGAGATTAAGGTGCACTTGGAAAGGATTTTATGCCTTTTCAGATCTCAACAGAACCATGGCACCACAAACAACAATAGTAAATCTATCAGGATGAAACAATCTTATTGCTGAAACAATCGACCACACAAAAAACCTGACTAGGGTCCGCATAGAGGATGTCGCTGTCGAGCGGTCACTGGTGGCGGCGGCCTCCGGCGCAAGGAGGCAAATGACAGCGGTACGCCGCCTGCGGCGACGCACAGCAGCTATCTGGGGTGGAAGCGGACGGCGGAGGCGATGAGAGCAGGTTCCGCCACTGGATTGGAGGAGGGCAGCGGCAGCGGACAAGAGGCGCCGCGCCACCGCTGAGAGGGTCGAGACGAGACGGATTCTCTTCTCGATTTATTTTCGATTTATTTTCCCCTTTTTGATTTTCTTCAAATGATAATAACCGAATGTTGAACGAGGCTGACGGGATGCTGGACGTCGTTCAATACAGCGTCCAGGTCTGGACATTGTTACGAAGAGCGTCCATTCCTGGACGCTATAGCGCTTAGCGTCCATCCTACAATTAAAATTTCCCTCTATCATTTACTAGATATTTAATTAATAGGTTGTTAATTATTATATATAAAAAAATGGGCACATCCTTACCACGCGCACAGAGTATGTAGTATAACAGATCAACAGTACAGAATTACCTGAAGTAGAAAGAATTAATAAGAATTACCTGGATTAGAAAGAATTAATAATCATAATAATCATTTTATTAATTTGCATGAATTTGACTTTGTCGCCCACTTTCAGATACATATTGGATTCCAGTAGCTTCGAACTGTTTTTTGAGTATGTGGAGCTGCCAAACTTCGATATTGCTTCTGATGCTCTGAACACCTTCAAGGTTAATCCAAATTTTCAGATTTACAAGTATAGAAACTAAAGAATTATATTGGAGGTCGAAGAATCAAGATTGATGGTTGTTCTTGACAAGATGGTTGCAGGATCTGCTTACCAAACATGAAACAGTTGTTGCTGAGTTCTTGAGTTCCCACTACGAGCAGGTGGTCTGAAATATACTCTATTTTCATGACAGAAAAATAAAACAACAAAATTTTCTTGTGAGTTTTTTAATATATATATTATTGATATTCCAGTGGATCAAAACGATTGCATTGCATGCCAACTGTTGTTTGCCAAATGACCTACAAAATCTGTTTTCCAACTTTGCGAAAACCTGAATCGTATTACTAACATACTTGAGAAGTTGAGATATTCCATTTGTTCTGTGTCTTTCTGATTGTATAATCTTGTACAGTTCTTTGAACTCTACACAAGGCTCTTAACATCACCTAATTATGTAACAAGAAGACAATCAGTGAAGGTTAGACTACGTTCAGCCGTTCTTTGATCATCATTCAATTTATATGAAATTTAAAGTGATCTATCTTGTCTCAGTTCCTTTCGGAATTTCTGTTGGAGGCTCCAAACGCTCGAATAATGAAGCGTTATATTACGGAAGTTCGTTTCTTAAATATTATGATTACTCTACTGAAGGTATTCTTTATAATCTTCTTACTATTCATTCATAAACTATTTAACAACAGACTATGGTAGTAAGCCAGTTACATCCTTTTGTTTGAGCATTTTGCTACTCTTGAACACAAGTTTCTACCCCTTATCTGAAGAGCACCAGCGGTTGTCCTCCTTCCATACATAGAAGTACATAAAAAAGATATGTTTATTTTAAATAAATTGTTGCAGATCTTCTGAAACCATCAAGTGAACAAATCTTCGCATTTATTTATAAGTTCACTTTCTGCATAATAGTCAAAATTTCCATTGATTTTTTTTGGGGGTCTTCCATGTCACTACTAACCTGCAGCCTTTGTAGGATTCAAGCAAAAATATCAGAATATGCGCCTTCCATGTTTTTAAGGTATTATATTTGATTGTGTGCATATTCTGTAGGTACATAACATGAAGTACACATAGGATAAATTGATGTGCACTCAAACAAAACGACACATAAACACGCACAACAAGGCCTGTTTAGTTTGAATATTCAAAAATTTCTGTTACATTGATCAGAATGTAGTAGTTCAGTTAAGATGATGCTGAAAAATTGAAAAATTGATGGGTTCTTTTTTCTTTGTGATACCACAGGTTTTTGTTGCCAATCCGAACAAGCCTCGCAGTATCATCGAGGCTTTGATCGAAAATCGCAGAGAACTGCTGAAGCTACTCCAAAATCTTCCTACAAGTAAAGGTAGCCGCGGCGCTTGATTGTTTGATATGCTATTACCTCCACTTCGGTTCAAATTCAAAAGGACCGAAATTGTTTTCGCTAAAGCACCATAAGGTCATACCAGTTATGTAAGGAAATGTTTTTTGGATGTGTTTGATAGAACTGATTTCACTTCATTTCATAGGCGAAGATGAACTTGATGAGGAGAGGAATCTAATCATTCAGGGGATTCAGAAGCTGGCCTGCTCATCAGCATAGACACTTGAATTAATGGAATAGCTGGTTTAGGGAAACTGCCTTTACTGAAAATACATGACAGGGTGTGCCTATAAGAATTGCGTCTTTTTGGAGTTTGAAATGAAATAGTTGCAAATAGATGCACAATACAAAATGAGTGCAACGAATTTTGTTCTTTAGGGACAGTACTAATGTTGATATGTTTTTTTCTCTGTTATGTGTTGTGTACTGCATATTCACAATCTAGATTGTAGAGCACTGTTGATACTAATGGGTTACAGTTTCTGAGAATACGTATGATTCAAATTCAAATTCCGTCACAAAAACAATTAAATTCAGCTTCCAAAACCCTGAGATGACATGCATGGTTGGAGTGATTGACAAAATCTGAATTCATGCAACTACCAAGTTACCCCCAAGGAAGAATCCGAAAGGTAGCAAAAACATGATAATGGGAAGATTCAATCGTAGTCTCATTCAGAATTCAGAAATCAATATATTCAACCGTATAGTCTCATTCAGAATTGAAGATTCAATCGTAGTCTCATTCAGAATTCACAAATCAATATATTCAACCGTAGGCTCATTCAGAATTCAGAAATCAAAAATCAATATATTCAACCGTAGTCAATCGCCGCGGCCACCGGAGAGGTAGCAATCACGCAGTAGCACCAGAGAGACTGAGATTGAGGAGGAGGACGACGAGGAGGGCACCAGAGAGACTGAGATTGAGGAGGAGGACGACGAGGAGGGCACCAGAGAGACTAAGATTGAGTAGGAGGAGGACGAGGAGGAGAAGGGAGGAGGGGTAGCAATCACGCAGTAGCACCAGACAGACCGAGATTGAGGAGGAGGAGGAGGACGAGGACGATGAGAAGGGTAGGAGTAGACTGGCTTACTCAAAGCCGTGAGAATTCCCTGGCCGGAATCCTCAGATCCCACACCTGGTCTACCAGCAACTTGGCTCGGCGAAGATAATCGATCATCGTAGGGCGCGGGTGCCGCTCCGTGGTGATCGCCGTGGCGACATCCTCCAGCAACTCCCCAAGCAGATGCACGATCTCCTCTATGGCGGCGCTGCCGAGGTGCAGGCGGCGCAGCTTCGTCCCGGCGTCGAGGAGGCGTGTCGTGAGGGGGAGATGATCTGGTCCAGGAGAGGGGCGGCGGTGGCGATCACGCGGTGGACACGAACCATAGCGTTGAGGTGCTCTATGCCCTCCACCTCCCAGTGCATCCCGTCGATCTTCATCTGCTGCCGGAGGAGAGCGCGCATCCTCCTGGCATGGCGGATGCGCCACAAGCACCTGATGCTGACGGTGAGGCCGATTCTGTCGCCGTGCGTGCGAAGAAGAGCCTTGACGTCGCCCAGCGATCGGATAACCCTAACCATGGCGATCGCGGGAGCACTCCTCGATTGGTCTCTCTCTCTCTCCGCTCGGCGGCGGTGGGGAGCGTACGGGATTGGTTTGCGAGAGGGAGTGGGGGGGTTCGAAATTTGGAGAGGCGGTGGAGGGGAGGGGTATTTAACGCCGATATCTTGCTTGTCGAGCACGATTTTGGAAATGACTAACGAAGGCGAGGCGGTGGTGGAGCTCGCCGTCCGACCGGCCGGTTGAGCAGAGTAGTGTGCGCATTGCTTGTGGCACAAGTATGATTCGCTGATGCGAGCGGCGAGGCATCGTTGATGGGAGGAGCGGGAATGGTTGGGGGAAGTGTAAGCTGGACAGCGCGCGCATGGGCATCGGTTTCCTTCTTAGCTGTGCGCGTGTGCGCATGGAAGAGGAAGACGATGGAGTCGAGGAGGAAGAAGAGGAAGGCCCCCATCACATCTCGACCATCCAATGTGTATGTGTAGAGAAAAAGTTGCCTTCCCACGCCACGCCACGCGACGCGACGCGCGAGGCATTGGCGCGCGCCCGCCTACGCCTACCCTGTTGCCCGTGTACCACGCGCGCCGCATTCGCGTCACCGACGACGAGACGACAACCACCGCCGCCGCTACGCGCCCAAGCCGACACCCCAACGGCAACCGCTTCAGCCCTCGAATCCCGGCGGCCTGCACTGCACCCCGCGCCGGCCGCCTCAACGTTCCCTCGTCGAATCCAGGGGAACCCGCAGCGACATCCGCCCATCGGCCATGGTTTGGGTCCTCCGCCTTCGCCGGCGGCGCCCAGAGAGGAGAGGGTGCCAGATCTTTGCGGCAAAATCCATGGATGAGACGGCGGCGGCGGCGGGAGACGGGGAGAGGGGCCTACTGGCCTAGGGCAGAAGCGGAGCGGCATTTGTTTCCCCCGCCTCCGCCTCCCCCTCCTGTGCGCGTCGTCGTCTTCCCCTCCGGTGGCGTGGCGTGGCGTGGCGCCCCGCGCTTCGTAGCCTCCCCCAGTACTGCTCCTGCTCCGTCACCACGGGATCCGGCCTCCGGCGCCACGCGGCCCTCGCCTGCGAGGACCCCGTCGACGAGACGAGGTGCGTGCGTTTTCACCTTGCTCCGTTCGTTCGGCTCGTCAAAGTCGCCAAATCATCTCACCGTTGTTGATACAACTTACTAGCATACTGTTTCGAGGAGTTGGACACACTTTATTAATTTGTTCAAATCCGTTGCTTAGCAATTACCCCTACTACATTATTTTACATTTTACATGTGGGGAATAGTTCTGTGGATAAAATTGAGTTCAGAATTAATGAGCTGGTTTTTCCTTTAGCATCACCTGCTTTGGTTAATTGGTTTCCTGCTTTGGATTCTAGTAATTTCTAAGGCACCTGTCGAGAAGAATGAAATGGTGATCTTCTATCGATGCCCAAAATGTTTTACGGAACGCGGATTGCCTAGTTGACACTACATTAGATCCAGAAATCAGGCAATATACAGTGACCCGCCGTTGTAGATAGATGAGCATGCTGAGAAGCTCCGTGGAAATCGATTCAGATGTATGCATGACTGGATCTAAAAGATTACTAGCTAGCTATTGTATACTCCCTCCGTTTCGAAATGTTTGACGCCGTTGACTTTTTAGCACATGTTTGACCGTTCGTCTTATTCAAAAAATTTAAATAATTATTAATTCTTTTCCTATCATTTGATTCATTGTTAAATATATTTTTATGTAGGCATATAACTTTACATATTTCACAAAAGTTTTTGAATAAGACGAACGGTCAAACATGTGCTAAAAAGTCAACGGTGTCAAACATTTCAAAACGGAGGGAGTATATTAATTAGACTGTGTCATCTGAGATGTGACCATACTACTGATCATATGTTCAGGCATGCCGCTGGAGGTATACAATGTGAGTCGGCATCAGCTTTTGTTCTCTCTGAAGGTGAAGGTTTCCAGAATGTATTTGGTATTGCAAGTTTGCAACACTTTTTATTTGTTGTTTGATGCTTTTGAGGAAAATATAGAGTTGAGCATGTTTAGGTAGTGTGCATTCATTAGGACCAACTGGTCATCAAATTCTTGTTGTGCTTGCATTGGTTATATGGTGGCAGTGGCCAGCACTCAGAAATATCTGGATTCTGGAGCAATTCTCAGATGGTAGCTGTTTTGAAGGAATGAAGTTTGTATTTGACCATAGGTTGTTACTCCATATATGCAGCTAACAATGTAGTTGTTAGTTGTTACTCAATTCCGTAGTGGAACTGTTTTCATAAAAAAATTCTTACATTGTACACTGCTAACTCTTGTTCTGGTTTGGATAGGATTACAGTGGGAAGCCTTAAAAAAGAACACACATGGAACTTGTTTGCTATTTTCTTAGAAAATAGATAAAAACCCGACCTCTACATCCAAAAAGGGATGTATGCAGCCAAGGAACTTGTTTGCTCTGCAGTTCTTCTTTTGATAACTATTTGAATTCATATCGGTGTCGCTGCAGCCATTGTAGAATGCTGGTCCTAATAGAGTGACAGGTTGATATAATCCTAATTTCATGTTTCTTTCTGTGAAGTAACATTTGTTGATTGGCATCTTAACTTCAGCTATTTGAATATGCAGTTCTATGCCACGGCATCTATTCACCAATCTTCTTACTTTCTTCTCCAGGATTCCACTTAGGAGTATGTACGTGAGTTATGCCAAAAGAATGTAAAGCCAGGCTGCCAAACGTCACCAAGGCAAGCCAAATAGAGACAGAGCTAATAGATTCTTCTGACTTTGGAAAACCAGCGATTATTAAATAAATTGTAACCTCTAAAACTCCCAGGAATAATGGCGACTGTTAGGTTCTGTATCAGTTTGCTTTTGTACTATCCTGAATACTAAATCCGTCCTAAAATAAATGCAGCCATAAATATCCGTGTTTAGCGCTTTGACCATCCGTCTTATTTAAAAAATTTATGAAAAATATTAAAAAAATTAGTCACACATAAAGTACTATTCATGTTTTATTATCTAATAACAATAAAAATACCTCTTTTTTTAAATAAGACGAACAGTCAAACGTTGAACATGAATAGCGCTAAAACTGCACTTATTTTGGGACGGAGGGAGTATATGCTATTTTTCCTCACAAGTATCTCAGTACTATGAAAGATGTGGTGCAGATGAAGAAGAGATTCAGACATTCAGTACCGTGAGGTCAAAGCTGTCTTTGTACTTTTGTCATGTAAACTGCAGGTTTAATTCCATATTGTTTCAACCTCTCTGCATTTCTTTTGAATGGGCATGCATGCGTACTGTTATTCCATTCGTTTCAGTCTACAAGTTTCTTGAATTTCTTGCACCGGGCTTTCTTTAATGTGTGGAGGCGATGATTGAATGGATATAGAAATATAATCATTTATATATTCATGCCAATCTATAGCCAAATATTGGATGCTTGAATTTTGTTTATTAGGTAAAAATTACATGTACCGGTTTAAATGGGTGGATAGATAATACATCTTGTTTTTGGGGAGAGAGGAGGCAGACGGTATTCTATATTTTTACATACAAAAATTGGATGACAATAGCTAGACGTAAAGGGAGTTTAAGCAAAGTCCTCGACATCAGCTCAATAGGATATGTCAAAAATTTTAACTGTACTGTGCTGCTTTGTAGGGAAAAAAAATGAGTTAGAGCTTTGAATGGAATATGAATTTGAAGCTTTGAACTGACTGGAATCATGCGTTATAGCTAATTTATGTTTTTTTATTATTACAACCTACAAAAATGGCACCTTCAGCTGCTTTGTCAGTTCCATTTTTTCTTTTGGATGGCCTGTTTGGGAAACAGGGATTTATTTCAAGTCCCTGTCACATCGGATGTTTGGACACTAATTTAGAGTTTTAAACATACACTAAATACAAAACCTATTCCATAACCTTGGACTAATTTGCGAGACGAATCTTTTAAGTCTAATTATGTCATGATTTGACAATGTGATGCTACGGTAAACTTTTCATAATTATAGATTAATTAGGCTTAAAAAATTCGTCTCGCAGATTAGCTCTCATTTATGAAATTAGTTTTTTTATTAGTATATATTTAATACTCCAAATTAACGTCCAAACATCCGATATGACATGAACTAAAAAGTTTTAGCCATATAGGTTGACACCATCAGGAACTGAAATTTCCGACAATGCTCACTCTGAGGATAGGATACCCTGGGGACTGCAGAGAAAACAAATTAATGCGTGTGATGTGAAGGCATAAACTACATATATATTATCCTCCAAATAGTTATAGCTATCATCGTATATATTATCCATGAAATCTCCATTTCGAATGTGTGGCGTCCCCAAACCTCGCGGGTCCGGAGGCCACGATACTGTACCTGTGTAACATGTACCAGTCCCAGGATACACAAGCTGATACACACAGAACATCGGTGATCCAAAGCAATCTAATAATATTACATTACTAGGATGGTCCTTACGTAAGTTGCCATCATGGATAGACCCCAGATGGACATCAATACGACACCAAAGACAATAACAAAAGTGACAAAAACAGAGCGGAAGCGAACAACGGAAGGCGACTTAACGACTAAGCGCTAGGCTAGACACCTAAGTGATTAACTTATTCCACAGGCACGGTTTGGGAACTAGGCCCGAAACCCTAAAAGTCTTCATAGTTGGCGTGCTCCTAAAGATACTCCTCTGCGGTTGGATCATATCCTCCTTCTTCGTCTTCAAAGCCTATTATAATTATATATAGAGCAAGGGTGAGTACTTTCGTACTCAGCAAGCCATAGGGAAGATGACATGTGCGGCTACCAAAGGAGGCAGAAGTTTTCATTTGCGAAAACCAGCCATTTCTCTAAAGGTTTCTTTTGCAAAACTCTAGTGTGTCAAGTTTTAGTTATCGGAAAGAGGCTCACGCTTCAATCCATTCCACAAGTTGCTTTGCAACAACGTGTCACAGGTAATTAGTGAATATGTATACTTCTACCAACACCTTAGTTCTCATAAAATTTTCTCCAACTCTTGCACTTATCTCCACTGTACTTCTCCCCGAGCCGTCTCAGCTCAAAACACCACGAGCCATCTCAGCTCAAAGCACCACGAGCCATCTTAGCTCAAATCACCTCTCAACCAAACAGTCCAGCTCCTACACACACTATGATAACAATCGACATCCCAGATCACACATACCTGTTCCAAACCACTCAGGTTTGTCGTCTGCCACACAGGCTGGCTCTAGAACAGTTCCCATCCCACAAACCAATTTCACAAAGCATTTACAAACAACACTACGCTAAGAGAATAACCTCATATTTGCTCTTAACCGTGGGCACGGCTGTTCGAACAGTTTAAACTCTGCAGAGGTCGTACGCTTTACCCACACGACACGAAACTGACACCGGTCACCCGTCGGCACCGGAAGTTCATTGCAAGGCCTTTCCAAAGCTAGTCCATAAAAAATCCCATGCCACATAGTTGGTCGCACGACAAGCATCAGGCAGTCTCAGCCCTCGTCTACTTAGGGTACACTAGGGATCCTACACCTATTGGTACCGTATCGCCACAATAGAGGCGGGCCACACATGGCCAAAGATCTCATCAAACACACACAACTTCGTCTCCTCATCCCCAGTGTCCCACTACTATTGGCATACAAGATAATCATGGACTAACTAAGTACTTCTCCATGGATATCCCATAATACCCGTGTGGTCGCACTGTAAGATGCTTGGATGGAATTCCCAAAGGAATCGGTCCTTAACGACAATACATAACCAGCCACACAGGCTCAGCCTACATAACATCAGGGTTCGCAAACTAGTTTTACTTTGCAAACACACCGACACTGAACATCAGGTTTTGAATAGTTGATTGGAAATCCAGGTTTCCCACACGACAATACAATAGTGGCAGGGCTAAGCCCAACTACCTCGACGTCCAGACCTGTAGGGTAAGACATCGGCGCGTAATATGTGGAGCTATCAAGGACATGGTATTCAATATCCTACAGAGTATAAATGCGACTAATCGGTAGGTCCATCGGATGCATTCACAAACCGAGGCCAAACAGTTTCACGTGTAACTTAAGCATGCACATTTACAAACAACATAATTTTGCACATATAGGAAATAGTATGGTCAAAGGTAGCTTGCCTTGGTCCTATGGTGGTTCTTCCTCGTCGAGAACAGCTTCCGAATCGACCGCGGGATTGGCAACTATATGCGAAAAAGAGAAAATCAACACAAGGGCTAATAAAATAGCTCAAACAGTAAGATTTAATACTGCCATCCAATAAATCTCATTTTAGGAAAAAATATGGAAGTTGAACGGAGTCAATCGGAGTGACGGTTTAGGAGATATGATTTTTGGAAGATTATATGATTTTATGGACAAAGGAAAAAAGAGTTTCTTTATGGGAAAAAGGAATATTTTGGAATAAACCCCTCGTGGGGCCCACTGTCAGTGGCACCGGGAGGGATCGGCCCACGGTAGACCGTGTCCACGGAGGGCGCGGCGCAAAGGAGTGGTTTATTCCGCCGCTCTGGCGTGTTGATTCTGTAGTTTTTTTTCTCCTACTTAATACAAAGGTGTGCAATTCTTTTGCACATTCCCTTAAAAGATGGATTATGACAGGATGAAATTTGTCCATTTGTATTTCCAGGCTTTTAACTGGGGCGATCAAAGCTCTCCAGGTTTTTAAAAACTGGACCTTCTAAATGAACTCTTCTATTATGGTTGGTAATAGGCCATGTAATTAAACTCAAGAAAGCTATAGACTTACTCCTTAATGTCATAATAGCAAAGTAGAAGGTCTGTTCTTAAATTTCGGTTTAGCTATCTATAGGTCGACCAAATTGTGCAGTTACAGCAGTCATACAGATATTCCACTTGTGATATAAATCTTCCGTAATCAATAGTTTGCAACACATACCTCTGGAAAGTTTGGCCATGAATATCTTAATCTTTTACCACATTGATAATTATTACCCTTTCTTTCAGAAGCAATCGATCCATCTGCTGCAAATCAAGTATTGTTATGAACAATACAGATATTAGCAGGTCTTTAACAGCAGGAAACACGGTTTTAACAGAATTTCGAGTGAAGAGGTAGTAAAATAGCGGGGGGGGGGGGGGGGGGATCTTGAACAGCAGAAACACAAAGTTTAAGGAGATATTTCGAGTGAAGAGTCTGGTGTGGCAGGCAGAGATAGATAGATCGATCGATAGCCGAGAGGATCGAACAGGGAAGGAGGCTTACCGCGGGGTTTCTGCGCCTTCTGACGACGTCGGCGCCACTCCCGCTGCCGCTGCCTAGCCATGAGCCGCTTCAGCGATAGCATCCCCATTGATGATGTTGATCATAATTGATACCACCACGGTGGTTCGTCTCCAGATCGAGACGGGAAATACCTCAGATCAATCCCTCGATCTGCCCTGCCCGACCGAGGGAACTCGCGTCGGCGGCGGCGGCGAGGAAGACGACGACGGCGACGGCGACGAAAAGGAGAAAACCGGACGAGGAGCGGACATGCGCAGCCCAGCCCAAGGCAAAGCGTTCCTATGAAAGCGACACGGCCCAAAATCGCGCTGGACGGCACACGCCGTATCAGCCAGCCAGCCTATTTGTAGTTGGAATAGTTCACTGTGAGTCCCTTAATTATTGGCAGAATCTAATTCGTATCCCGGAACCACACCGAATATGTCGGGAGAGCACTACGTGTCGGACGTACGGCGCGAGACGAAAAATTGGACGCATCCATGAGCCATCCGATCCGCGCGCTCGCCGTCAACCGATTTGATGTCATCAAGAATACATGCATGTAAAACAAATTTTAGACTATTTTTTCTCTTAAATTATATTATGTATCCAAATCATGATCCAATTACACCATCAAATTCGTTACAATTAAATATTTAAAATAAGACCACACATGGATATATTCCGATGAAATTTTTTTAGCTTATTATTGAATTATTTTTAAATGTTGCACGCTGTTCCACCAAATATATCGAAATTGTTTCACTAGGTAGATAGAAAATATTTCAATCGTTTAAATCGGGTGCTGTTTCACTTTATATAAAAACAATGTTTCAGAAAATAGTGAAAGAATGTTTTAAGTCATTGCAACATTTGATCCATACAAAGTGAAACATTATAAGTACACTAGGCGAAACATTTTTGGTGGTACAAAAAATAAAACGAATTCCCTTAATAGAGGGTGTCCATAATATGTGGGTGATTTATTGCAAAAGAATATTTTAATTCACTGCAACATTAGATCTATACACAGTGAAACATTGTGAGTACATTAGGTGAAATATTTTTAGTGGAACAAAACATTAAACGGATTCCCTTAATAGAGGGTTTCCATAATATGTGGGTGATTTGTTGTAACGGAATATGTAGTGGGGACACGTGGCAGCACGAGGACGCGTGTGGGAGAGACGTGGTGGGCCCTGGCGGCTGGCATTCTCTGTGTCCTGAGCGTCCGACGCAAATCATAGGATCGGACGTCCGGGACGAAGCGTTTTCCGAAAGTCTTCGTTGGCCCGACGACTACAATGAGAGCGGTACGGCTCGTACGTCTGATATCCTACCAAATATCGGACGCCCAGCCCAGCTCTGAGCGTATGTGCATGTGCATGTTGCTGCACTTTATTTTTCACTCCACAATCATGAGGAATCTTTCCATCTGACGTCTCATGTCCCAACAAAAATTGGTTGGTCAAATGTTCCTAGTTGACCATTGAGTGAAACATCAAATTATATATGGTGAAACAAAAAATCAGCAACTGAGACATTTAAAAATTTTATGAAACATGATGAAGATACACGTTGAAACATGTCGCTACCACATATGAAACAACTAGTGTTAACGGATTGAAACATATGTTTTTCTTTTATCAAAATATAATCATATGATATCTTGTTATAAAGATTTAATTACAACGAATACAACGGTGTGATCAGATTATAGATTGGATAATTAGTTTATGAGAAAAATCATTTTAAAGCTCGCAAAAATGCATACATGTATGCATGTATGAGGTGGAGAGAGATGGGAGGGTAGTGGCAAGTATTTCCGTGAATTTTATGAAACACAATAAAAACATATGCTGAAACATATTGCTATAACGTATGAAACATAAAGTATTAATGGTTTGAAACATATGTTTTTCTTTAATCGGAATATAATCATGTGATATCTTGTTATAAAGATTTAATTCTAATGAATATAACGGTGCAATCGGATTTTAGATTGGATAAGTAGTTTAGGAGAAAAAAAATTTAAAAAATTGACACATGCATATGCATGGTTGAAATTAGCAGTAGATACTCCAACGTGGGAAGCATCGGCGTGGTGTCCGATTTTCTTGTCTTGTTCGGACGGCCGATTACAAGCATTTTTCAATATGGGGTCGACCCTCCATCTATTAAAACCAATACAATTTAACTCCTTTGGTGGTTTTAGAGGATGGTTTCGCTAACGTGACGCTCTACATAGTGGTGTTGACCTGGTTTTCGTTCTACTGGCGCTTATGTTACATTAGAATTAAAAAAATACGTAGGACCCATTTACCATTCACAAAAGAAATATTATAGGACCCACACATCAGTCTCTCTTTCTCTCTCTCCCCCTTGGGTTGTCTGCGGGGATAGCTGGAGCGGCATGGCGGGGGCTCCGGCCTCGGTGGCTTTCAAAGCCTCCTTCTTCACAACAGGATCCAAAATCCCGCCCTAGAGTTCATCTACCTCCCCTTCCAAAACTTCTTATCCTTCTCCTTCTTGCTAATCTCTATCGATCCATCCATCCATTGCCTCACAAGCACCTCATTCTTTTTTCCTTTGATTCTTCGCTGCTAACGCCACCAAAACAGACAACAGATTTACAGCAAACAGAAATAACCCCCACCAAAAATAAGGGAGAATATTTTTTAAAAAAAAAGGAAGCAAAATTAAGGAAGGGCCTAATATCAAATAATTAGAAGGGGTGAGGCTTTGAACCCAGGTCGTCTAGCCCACCACCTTGTAAAGATAGCCGAAAGACCCCTGGGCGTTTCTCAACTTTTTTTTGGGAGGGGGAGGGGGTGTTAGCGTTCTCCGTTGTGACGAGATGCATGCGCTCACTGTGGACGCCACTGCACCTGTCGCGCATGCCTTCACATGCGACACGAAACGCTTCCCTACGCCACTGCTAGGCCATGCCACCCCCGCAGCGGCGGTGGCGGAGAAGCCGAACACGACTACGTGGTTGGCCTACCTCTCGTCCGCACACTGTACAACGTGGATGGCTGGGCGCGCCATACTTCTTTGCCATGCAACGTTGTTGTGCGCCCGCACGACGCTGCCACGTTGCCCGGGCATGAGTTCAACCTTACCAAGGTGGTGGCCAAGGCCACCGGCCCATGCTCCGGTGGCGGGCTTGGACTACCACTTCCCCTGCCGATGCAGTTCCCTGACTTGCTCCGCCACCGCTACCGCCGCCGCTCCACCGCCCACCCTCCCGCCGCCTGCCACCTGGGGCTTCAGCTCTCACCGTAGACGACCGGATAGGGAGAGAAAGGGGAGAGAGAGAGGGGGGAGGAGGAAGGAGAAAGAGAGGCTGACATGTGGGATCCCCATGTCAATGGGTCCCACAATATTTCTTTTGTGAATGATAAATGGGTCCCACGTATTTTTTAATTCTAATGTTATATAAGCGTCACGCCAACACCGCCACATAGGAGCCACGTCAATGAAACTGCCTTCAAAATCACCAAGGGAGTTAAAATTACACCACTTTTAATAGTTGAGGGGTCGAGATATTCGGTATTGCGGTTTAAGGTTATGAATTATATTCAACCACTAGGTACGTAAGGGAGTCAAAGTGGACTTATTCCTTTGCACTTCCCCTTTGTTCCCGCTGGTCTAAAAGTTTTTCGAAAACGATTAGGCTTGGGCACCCCATGCCTAACGAAATATCGAGTGCCTTGTCAGTCGCTCATTCCGCATGCCTTCTCTTCACCGCCGACCTCACCCGCACCGCCACCGCCTGCACCGGCTTTCGCTGCGTCATCACTGAGCCCTCCTTCCTCCATCGGATACGCGCCATCAACAACCCACCACTGCTCGCAATGTTGTCAATTTCACCTACCCCTTCCTCTCGTCGTCCTTGGATCTCTGGCGCACCGCGACATTTCTTGATGGCCATGTCCTCTTCTTCTGTGACCCTGACGGCCCCCGCTAAGACCGAAGGTGAGCACCGAGAGGTAGTTGTCGGCAACCCTGTGTTCGCCGGAGAGGAGAAAGATGCAGTCCAAACCAGTTTTTTTTTTGTGTGTGTTTCAGCTAGTGTACTCGTGTTTGGATCAAATATTGCAGTGGATATTTTAATAATGTTTCATATTTTAATCGTTGATGTACACAGAGTTTGTTGATGTTTCAATGGTTAGAAATCAATGTTTTATATGCTGTAGCAGAATGTTTGAAGTGTGATTCGGTTATGTTTCATTGTTTTAAATGCTGATTTTTTTTCTCAAGTACTGATACATTTTCTTACAAAGAGGTGAAACAATACCCGATTTTTGAGGAAATATTGCAATGGGGTTTTGATGGTGTTTCATATCCATGTCCTTGACTGATATGGATTGTTGGTGTTCTATTAGGGTGAAATTGGATGTTTCATATGTTATATCAAAATGTTTCAGTCGTAGTTCAAATGTGTTCCAACATTTTAAGAGATTGAAACATTTTCGATCTAGCATATGAAACTTTTTTTCCGATTAGTAAAACAACGCCTGATTTTCGAGAAACAAAACGAACGCCCAATTAATAGTTACTTCAAAGGTTTTTGTCCGTTTGGCACAGTCTCAACTCTAGCTTTACCTCTTGTGAAGCTAGAACCAAACCAAATGGTTTCAGCTCCGTCCAAAATCACTACAACAAATATACCTTGTAGAGACATTTTAACAAATATACCTTGTAGAGACATTTTCCTAATACTATAGAGACATTTATAAAATGCCTTCACAGTGTTATAGATACATTTTGAAGAGTGTCTCATAAGTGCCTTTTGGTGTATTGTCTCTACAAACTAAGAGTCATTTTGTAAGATGTCTCTATGCAAATAGAGGCACTTTGTAGAGGCATTAATATGTTGAGGCAACTATAGCAAATCAATATGAAAAAAAAGAAAAATATTATCCCTTACCAATCCTTGAACTCATGACCTCTTGAATTGACTATTTTTTATCTTCAATACACTAACCATCTCAACCTCATTTAATTACATATAAATATATGATTTGTGTTACTTATATCTAATTACTTGATATATATTAATATTTGAAAAAAAAATGCCTTTACATCGTTTAAAACGCCTTAAGAAAATGCCTTTACATATGAGGCAAATTTTAAAGTGCCGAAAGGATGTCTCTACAAGATAAATTTAACAAAGTATCCTAAAAATGTCTCTAAAGTGTCTCTAGAGTAAAAATATTTTAGGCAATTTTCAAAGTGCCTCTAAAAAGTGTCTCTAAACTATAGAGCTTCAAAACTTAGAAGCATTTTGATTAAAGGCATTTTGAAAATTGTCTCTACAAAAGAGCCTCTATATAAGGTTTTTGTTGTAGTGAATGGAAGTGCAACTGGCTGAAGTGCTCTCACAATCAACATTTATCTAGCCACATCATTCTATGAATTTTGATCGTTGAAGGGCAAAACGGAAGTCTCAGCTGATGTGAAATTGAAGTTAAAAGACCTTTAATTCTCCTCTATTAATATGCATTTCATCGTTGTAGTTATAATACGTTCATGCAGGTTAGTTGGAAGATTATCAATCTCCCCAGCCATATGACTGAGGAGTTGAAAGTCCATTTTAGTTATCACGTAGCAACGTGCAAACCGTTGCTGACCTATTATTTTTTATTAGGACGGATGAAAAATTTTCACCTCTTCTTTTGCAAAAAGAAAACAAAATCTGACCTATTGCTATGAATCAATCGCAAAAGTTCAAAAAAAAACGATGTTGCTTCTGCTTCACACAGATTTTGCATAAAGCAGTGTTACAAAGCTTATGGAAATATACTACCTTCTTTTCTAATATATGACGTTGTACTTTTAAAACATTAACCATTCTTATTATTCCAACTTTTTAAAAATATAAAGTTATTTAAGTCAGACTTAAAGATCATTTAATTTATCAAGTCATAATAAGAGAAATAATAATTACATAATATTTTTAAATAAGATGGATGATCAAACATATATTAAAATTCAGCGATGTCATACGTTAAAAAACAATAACGGATAGAGTACTTAGGTTCACACAAAGTCCTCAAGGTACATATTTTTCAGTAGTTAGTTATTGGGTTGCTTCTGCTTCACACTACGGTGGCCATGGATGTGTGAATTGTGATGTGTCTCTACTTGGAGGAGAAGGCCTTGCGCACTCTGGAGCTCACCCTGGTCTTCCCCTTCCCTTGCTGCTCCTTGTCACCATCGCCCTCCTTCGCGTCCGCCGCGGCGGTGGTGACATCAGCGGCAGCAGCAGCAGCCGGCGGCGGCACGGGCACCGGAATCCCCGGTGGCGGCCTCGTCGTCGTTGCCGCCACCTTCTCGGCGGCAGGTGCGCTCCCGGTCGTCGACGCATGTGCATGCCCATGGCGACGCGACGGTGGCGGCGGCCTTGCAGCCGGCGCCGACGGCAACACGACAGGCGCCGGAGCGTTGCCGCCCGCAGGCTTGGCAGCCGGTTTCACTACCGCCGGCGGCAGCACGACGGGCGCCGGAGCGTGGCCTGCCGCCGGTGGCAGCACCGGCCTCGGTGGGCCGCCGCCGTGCGTCGTCGTCGTCGCAGGCTGCATGTCTACTGTACTTCCAGGCGCACCACCACCACCGTCGTCGTCCTGGCCGTGGCGGACGCCGAGGCGGCGGAGAGGCCGGAACGCCGGGCGGGCGTGGAAAGCTCTCTGGAGCCTGTCACAGAAGCTCGGCGGCTTCTCGCCGGCGGCGCCGGCAGACTCCTTCTTCTCCGTCTGCATCCTGCACAAACTACAAACTAAGTCTTCAACTGCAGCGAAATGGAGACTGAACTCGTAGTGTTTATATAGGCCAAAAAAAAAAGAAGAAAAAAAATTACTAACTTACAAGCGAAGTGAACCGAATGGAGTGCATTGTGTTGTATCCCTTCTTTTTTTTCTTCAGATACCCAGCGCACAAACTAAAAAGACGGCGTATCATGCATGAACCGACGAGAAATGGCATCGCATTCTCCACATCCACAAGACAAAAGGACAACAAAAGTGTCTCCTTTTAAACCGTCGATCTCCACCGCCAGCTTGACAAATTAGATGTTCAGTTAATGAATTAATTAACCGTGAAGAAGAGCATGACACAGTGTAACATAGATCACCACAAGTCCACTAATGTTCACACGTGGAGAAAAGTTTGGTGTAGCATGAAATTAATTAGTACTATTAATTCTTTAGATCTAATTCACATCCGCACGTTGCGCAACCTTTAGATCTAATTCTTTAGCTAGGCTCGATTCACACTTCGAGGTCATCCAATTTTATGTGCCCATACAACACATCCCATTTGCACATATGTTATTACTAGTATAACACAACTATAAATTAGCACATATTTTAATCTATCATGCATATGTACGAAACTCTAGCCGCCCGCCACCACCCACTCCCCCTCATCCTCCGCCTCGCCACCGTCGGAGCACGTTGCCTTCTCTAGGCGGCGAGCATGGGATTGTGGTAGTAGGGCCAAACCTTGGCGAGGCTCGCCTCCTGCGCAAGGGAGACGGTGAGGAGCACGACAAGCTGAAGGCGCGGGGCGCTGGTATAGTGCCGTCACATCTAGATCCGGTGCGTGGTTGGATCCGGCGTCTCCGCGTCAATTTTGGCCAAGGTAGCAGTTGACGCACCTGCGAGTGTCGGATGGCCGGCGTGGCTAGCAGCAGTGATAATAGGAGGTAGCGGGCTCCTCCACCTCCTGCCCCGTCACCGCTCGAGCCACTGGATGGCACCGGTGCAACCTAGGGAAGTCGCTGGATCTGGGGCCTGTGCCCTTGGTTCCGACTGTGGGTGACGGGCCTCCCACTGGCCGGCAAGCGGATGGTGGTGGCGGTAGAGAGGGCTCCCCCTCCTAGCGTGCGGACATCAACAACAGCTCCTGCTCACAGGGCAACGACAATGCCCTCGGGATGACGACGGCGCGACTGCAGCAGGCCGGCCCGTTCGACGGAGTGGTGGCGACGCGGTTCCGCAGGCAATGGCATTGAGGGGTCCAGTGGAAGACGGTGGCAGTAGGGCTTTTGCTTTGCTGGTCAGCAACGAGGGGTGATGGGCCACTGGTTCTGGGACATCCGGACATCCGGTGTCTCTGTTGGTGGTGATGGCGGTTCCAGTTCCTGGTGGTTGGGTGTGGCCATGATGCAGGAGAGAAGGTCATCTCAGCACGCTGCAATGCTAAAGTTTGCTTGCACACTTGAGAGCGGGCGCAACATCGATAGTTGGTTGTCTTCATAGTGGTAGGTTGGTGGAGGCCTAGGCAAAAGCGTGAATGGCGACGCTAGCGGGCGTCGATTCCTCCTTGGAGACGTCCTTTTGGTTTCTCTATCGTGTCGTGCTTGGAGCTAACCCATAGCAACTATGCTCCACTTTGGCTTCTATGGGTGGCTTTTGGGAATTCGGAGCTGCTGCGTCGTGTTGACGAGCTTGGTAACGATGACTCAAAGCTATGGTCGGTTCTAAGAGGTTCTGTATGCTGTCCTTTAGGGTAGTCGGAGCTGCTACGCGGTTACGAGCTTGGCAACGATGACTTAAGTCAGAGTATAACTGTCATGTTTCGCTCCATTGTAGAGTTGCAAGCTTGTTGGTTTGCAAGTCTCTCCTGATCCCTAGCGTTTCTTGATGAAGTTGGAGTTGCCCGATCGCGTGGGTACCTGTGTGATGACGATAATGCCATGTCTCCGCCCATGTGAGGGAGCCTTTGCTTGTCTTCTCGGTTGCTTCTTTTTGCAAATCTTGTGGTGAACAACATTTACTTAGTGAACCTAGCTGTTCTGCTTTTGCGGCCTTGTAGTTTAGGTTGGTTAGTTGTGAGTTTGTTGTAGTTGTGATTTTCGTCCCATTTTTCCTAATTAACTGTGCACTGTAAGGTTTAGTCTCGTTTTGTCCTTAGAATGAGTCACCTTCTAACGTCGATAACGGCCTAAACGTTCGAAAAAAAAGACATGCGTTAAAAAGTCAATGACGTTAAGCGAATGCCCTTCTTGGTAGTTTTAAACTTTTTTTCCATACTTGTACACTTCAAATAAAACGTGATCTTAACTACTTAAAAAATCTGCAAGTTTCTTATCATCACATGCGATTTCGTCAGTCGCCTTTTGGCATGCGTATAACTGGGCCATGGAAACATGCTAGGCTCCATGTTTGCCACGTGCATAAGATAAGAGACTTAGCAGTATTGTACGTTGAGACGGCGAACCACATCCTCAACTGTGTGTTTGCTCGGCAGGTCTGGCTCCGTGTGCTGTCGCCTCCTGGATGGCTGCCCTCTCTCCCCTAGTGGCAACTGGTTCTAGAACTGGTGGCCGTCCTCCAGGGCCTGCTTACCAGAGCATCTCCGTGCTAGCTTTGACTCCCTGGTGCTCTTGGTCTCTTGGTAGCTGTGGAAGGAACGAAACTCTAGGGTTTTCGACTCTGCGCTCTCTTCTGTCTCCGTGGTTCTGGAGTCCATCCACTCGGAGGGCCATCTGTGGTTTTTAGCTGGCATTACCACTTTTGGGGATTTATTGGGAGTCTAGCGTAGCTTGGCCCCTTCCCGCTGCTTGGAGTTTGTGTTTAGCCGCCGTAGTTTTCTTAGCTCAGCCTTTTATTTTGCCTTTTCTCCCTTCCCTTGTATAAGCTGGTCTAGCTGATTGCGTCGTGTAACTATAACTCTTTTCTTCTAATATATTAACGTGCAATTATTTTGCACGTTCGCGAAAAAGGTTTCCTCGTATGTATAGCAGTTCTCGTATATGTTGATCTTTGTTACAAGCAACTGTTGGTGCGTGCGTGCGGTACCGTAGTCCTCCTTTTGGAATCGACAGCGCCGCCGCCCGATCCATCGTCCCGCCCAGCGAGGCTCCAATTGATATTGTTTTTGAGCGGGGCGAAGTGACCCCCGGCCGAGGCTCGGCGCGCTGTGGCCACCCCAAATAATGAGTCAATTTTTCCTGGGCACGCAAGTATCCAGCTCGCGTGGCCGGCCAGGCGTCGTGGCCTCCACCCTTGTCAACATCGGACGCAAACCGCGAAGCCGAAGTGGAGACATAAGAGAGTGGACTGAGCGGTGAGGGCATTGGGATGAGGATTCAGAACCCTAAGCCAAGGTACGTTGCAGTCGCGAACTGGCGAGGAAGCGGAGCGGTGCTGCAGGACGGAGTCACGGCGGTGAGGCTTCTCGATTTGGTTTTGCTCTAATCCTCAATCGTCTCATGGCCTCCCTCTCCTCACAAAATCGTAATCCCTGAGGTGCTCTCCATCCTAGCTCGCCGACGCCAGCCGTTACATTCTGGGTCGGCGCCGGCCTTCGGCTACTCTACTCGAGTGCAATCTCATGATCTCATCTACCACGACAGTGTTGTAGTGGATGCACTTCGGCGGCGGATGCAGCAGCATCGTCATCCGAGTCTTCAACACCCTGATCAACGCTGCGTTGCTATGTCTTCTCCAATCTCCATTGGTATGGAAAGCGCGGGCGTCTGCCACCGCTACCAGCGGGCACCACGATGACCACAAGAACCAATAACTGGCGCGAGGTGAACCAACCCAAGGTAGCAAGAGAGAGTCTCACAAGACAACTGCAGAAGCGCAACACACTGAATGTTCTGCAGTTCAAATTCTCTGACGCTATTCAGAACAAAACGTAAAGGTGTTGTATATAAGGGCAACAAATTGGTCCCTAGCACTAACAGGCCAACATATTCCATCTTGAGCCTCACAGCTCATAATCAAACCAAGATTGCCTTAAGGAAAAGAAGGCTGGTATCAAGAGCCTCTGCAGGACAACAATCAATCATCATAACAACATAATTCAGCTTTACTAAGAATCAACTGACTCTGTATAAATAACCAGGGTAAACAAAAGGGGTCAAGGAAATTGTAAGTTACTTGTCTCAAGATATAGTGCAAGTTTAGTACAGGTGCTGAAATATGATCCTCACAAAAACCAGACTTGTCCCATCTGCAGGGTAATTTTTCGCTTAGTACAGACACCATCTTCCAAGTGGTAAAACTTTAATAAGTACTAACTGAAGCACATAAAGGTTTCAGTGCAAGGGGATCCCTCCACCAGCATATTCAACCTCCTGCCAGCAGAGAATAAAACTCAATCAGTTCGAGCAACCACTGCTATATATATACATGGTATCAATCCATATAGATCATAAAAGTAAATAGTGGCAAACTAACATTCTAGACTTTCAGTTAGAAATATTGACTGGAAAAATATCAAGTATCGGTGGCTAAGGGAGAAAGTTTATCAAAAGGGATAAAATTTTGGTCGCAATATTTACAATTTGTACCAGTAAATGTGTGCATACATTAAAAGAAAAAAGAGCCAAGTCTCTAACAGAAATTCAAGTTTGGGCTTTTGGCTATTTTGTTGAAGCAATTGACATAGCCAGAACAAAAAAAAAAAGAGAGAGAGATGTGGATATCATACAGGTGAACATGAACCTGTTGTGACTAGTCGCCACACATCATGAATTGTACCATACAATATTTTAGGGGGAGTCTTCAAGCTATGGTACTTCTCAGTTCTAAATTCCTCAAAATGTTTCAATCTCAAATTTTGTATTATTTATCTTTGTTGGGCAAAAACTAACTGTGTATATATCCCAAGTTTCATGCCAATCAGGAGGTAAATAAACAATCTCACAAAACAAGTTTCACTGAGATTGGACAAATATCAAAAGGTTTTGGGCAGTTTGCAGGTTATAGTGAAGTTGCAGATGCCATGAACAGGTGAAGCAATTAACAGAACAAGCAACTGGTAGCAGCAAGTTGATTGAGTCCCAGTTTTCACAGTAGTTACCATCAATTATGCAAGGACGAACTACCTCCAGTCACAAATACTTGGTCGTTTTTAACATTTTCATGGGTTCCTAATTGTAACTTTACCAATAATTCTATTGTTATAGACTTGAAAACCCCAATAAAGTAATCATATTATAAAGTACTTTATGAAACAAATTGACACATGACTCTCATATCCAATCTAAATATTTTTAGAAGATACCAATACTCAATTTTTTTTTTAAAAAAAAAGACCGGATGTATGTCCAAAAGGACAAGTATTTCGTGATCAGAGAGAGTAACACACATTCCCAGTACAACAAACCTAAAAGTGACCAGATAAATTCAAGAAGTAATTTGGGTGGTATCAGCAACATACCCGAGCAGGAGCCAGTGAAAACACCCAATCTGATGCATTTGTTGGAAGAAGACCCAACGTATTGAGCTGTAGAAGAAGCAGCTAAGTGCCCAAAGTGCTTACAGAGAAACATGAAAATTCTGACTAAACCATGGTACTATAACTTACCTTCCATACACCTAAACCCATAGCTGCCAAGTTGAGAGCAATAAAGACCAACTTAGGTGCTAGAGTATCCACCCTTGGGTCCTTGAATGGTTCAAAAACTGCAAAAGTACAGAAGGTTTATTAAGGAAAAAAACTCAACACCTAGACTACAGTACTGAATGTCACGAGCATTTTTGTTGTCACAACTTCTGGTACATGGCTGCTAAAATATGGACAACATGAATGTGGACTGTAGCCAATCAATATCAGTCACAAGTCCAGAATAATACTTCATTGTTACATACAAGCAACTGAAGGTTCAATCATCATGTGCCTTTAGAAGATAGAAGGCTGATGCGAGTTAATCATTAGCATTTTATGCAACAGAATAGCCATCTTTGCATATTTTTATTCAGGTTGACAGTGATATTCATTTTTACGAATCAGCTCCACTGTAAAACAAGCAACGTTATTAATCATTGATATGTCCAATTCTCTTTTATTTTCGTATACTTTTGTTGGTCTATTACTACAGTTCAGGTAAAGGATTTTTTTTTTTTGGAAACGTAAGATGATTTTGTTATAAACAATATAGTAAAATTAACAACTATAATTTTAGGGATGATGTAGCATGAACACACATCTAAAAATTTCAGGAGTATGAAAAGCATCCCACATTAATTTTTTAGCATAATATGCCTAGGTATTACTTGCGCTCTACAGACAATCTAGGTGACAAGCAGCAGGTGACCAGGCATTAAGAATTCTTAACATGAATACACATCAGGTTGACCAACAAAAGATAGACCACAATATGGAAGCCCAGGTACAAGCAGCCAGACTACGCGGACGCCAGAAAAGAAATTGCATAAAAGAGGCTAAACTATTCATTGATCAGGAGCTCAGGACTTGCCAGTATGAATCGGTAGCACTAACACTGTTAATCTCGAGCTAAATTAGCAAGTGACACCAACCAAATATAGGCAGGAGGAAGTACCTTTGCCAACAGAGCGGAGGGCGCTGATGGGCTGCCACAGAGCGGAGAACGTGATACCTATGCTAAACAGGTGGACGGTGCTCCCGGCCATCCACATCATGAAACCCATCATCATCAGGTTCTTGAACGGCGCCTGCGCCACCTCCCACGCTTTCTGCCCACACCACGAGCACAGACAGTATAGTCAACACACACAGACCTAAAACCTAGATACCAGCATATGCAATTGCAAGCGAAATTTCGAGCACTCCGCGGAGATAACGAGGCAGCAAGATCTGACGCGTCCTAGATTCGACAGAATTCGTCGATCCACACCGAATTTCTCGTACAGCCATGGAAGAAATCTAAAACTCCGGATCTACCGTACAATCACGCAGGGAAAGAGGGGGAGATCGAGCTCACCTGCGCCTTCCACGCGGTCTCGGAATCCTTCCGCTGCCGCGCGCCGGCGGCGTCGTCCTGCGGGAGGCCAAGAGAGCACACGAGTCAATCCCGCGATCCAGGCGGGAGGGGGAAGAGAATAGAGCAGTTGGACGAAAGACGGGGGGGGGAAGAAGAGGTAGTACCGCGTCGGGGGCGGATCTGGTGAAGCCGGGCGGGTCGGGGATGGAGGAGTGGGAGGAGGAGGAGGAGGAGGCGTCGTGGAGCTCCACCGCCCAGCGGCGGGCGAGGCCCTTGCCCTTCTCCATCGCCGGCGGCCGGTGAGGATGCGGGAGACGACGGATCTCCTCCGGCTCTCTCCGGGTTTGGGCTTGTTGGCGATCGACTGTCGAGTGCGAGTCGACGGGGACTCCCAACACCAAGTTCCAATTAGTGAATCCCGTCAAATTACCGGAAGGCCCCTACCGCAAGTTGTATCTACGAGTTGCTCCCGGGTAAACTAGTACAGCAAGCACACAAGACTGGGCCACTTTGGGCCCAAATTAGGGCCAGGCCCATCCCATTAAAAGCCTTAGAGCCGTTTTTATGGACCTTCTTTGGAGGACCCTTTTTAAGAGCTTGTTTAGCATAGCTTCAACTCCGCTCGACCTTTTTAGGAAACTAGAGCACGGCCAAATAATTTCAATTTCATCCAAAAAATAAGTGAAACAGGTTAAAGTGTTCTCGCAAAATGAATTAGAGAGATTGAGTTGGGTTTAGGCCTTAGAATATAGTACAACCTTTTTTTTAGAAGAGTAGTTTAAAGATGGAAAAATTACAACCAAATTTAAGCAAAGGACTTAAAAGAATTGGAAAAATAATTAGGTGCTTCTATCTTCTCTGCCCACAGCAAGATTTGGAGTTGGACGACACGATTGACGATGGTGATTGCACAATGAATTGCTGAAGATGTTGCCTTAGCACAAACCCAGTTGAGGCCTCACATCGATGGAGGTTAAGACCTTGGCATTCCATAGAAGCAATCAGCCACACACCTTGGATAAACATCACTAAAGCCGAAGAAGTTGGCCGACATTGGAGCAGGAGCATCGAGGATGATAGCCAAAACATTGATTGACAATGAGGACAAAGATTGCATGACATACTGCAGAAAATGGCACCAAGGAGCTTACCCAAATGAGCCCTCCGCTGACTAGAGGTTAAGGCTTCTAAGGTATTGCTCAAAACTCAGTTACCTGTCAAATTGTTGTCAACGACAAAGGAAAAGACGGTTGCCCTTGTACAAAGCTCACTAGAGATAGGTGATATGGCTGGCACAACCTTGACCTTACTAGATCTGGCGCGGTGGTGGAAACTAGCCCGTAGACTATGAAGAATGCCACCAAGAGGAGCACCTATGCACTCTCTGTGGAAACCAGGGCAAGGATGACCAGCCCCGATGACCTCCCTGGGAACCAAAAGAATAAAGCTACCCAAATAACATGACCTAATGAAAAGATCTAACTATATTTTTTTAAAAAGGAATCAACACGAGACTGTGTTATTTCATTAAAAATAGAGGGAACAAAGTATAACCCTTAGGGGTAACGAAAGAAAGAAACTGGAAAAGAAAGATCTGACTATTACTGTGGATTTACAAGGAGGGTGGAGACCCAACCCCTCTACCTCCCATCACCAGTGACAGGGCCATAGGAACTGAGGAGAAAGAGGGGTCGAGGAGGAAGAAAAAAGCCTTTCTCTCTCTATCATCTAGAGTTCACGAGAACACTTAAGAAACCTTGAGGCAATTGTTTTCAAGGACTCGTAAAGTCACGTTTGGAAGAGCTAAATGTTCTTGGAAGCTGATGATTGATGGGAATATAGAGATCCCATGTTTTCCAGCTTCCGATTAGTAGTTCATTTTTAAATTCCATAGTTACTAATTCTTATAATCTAGATAGAGAGTTGAGTATTCTGGATTCTAGAAGTAGTTGCGGCTGCAATAAAGCCCTGAAGCCAAATAGGGCATATAGATGTATTTGCTTTTGAATTTTATTTTGAGAATATTTTTCTCTGCCACTTTTGTTTCGCGGCCTGATTAGCTTTACACAATTGCTATGAAACTCTATTAACTTGTTTGTTCAAGAGCTAAGACTATATTGTTCTTGCCATATGGGTGTCTCGTGTTTCTTTGTTACGAGTGTTAAATAAGCAGTGCAATGGCTCTTGTATTTTTGACTTTTTGTCTCTCGAGAGGACATCCCCTCATTTTAGACATTCGTCTCTTATAGGCATTGCCACATAGTCCTTCTCATTCTATCACTCGACTTTGATCCCATGCATGTCCCTACAGCTAAAAGAAAACACTCGCATTGCTTGTGGCCATGAATTTTCGCTCCCATTTTACAGCTCTCCCCACAGCAAACGACATTGCAGGCTTGCAGCGGTAGAGCTCAACGTGTGGCTGTGCTTTTCCTTCCCCCACGCCATTGCACCGGACCAGCTTCGCATCTTCCCCTCCCACTCCCAGCAGCGAAGGAAAAATCCCGGGAGATCACAGCTGGCCCAATCACGTCTCCCCGCGCCACCCCCTATCCACCTTACCCCACCCCTCCTTATCTTCCTCCCTCCTCGCCACCCGCCAAAAAAAACCACCTCTCTCTCTCGCGACCTCTCTCTCCCGTGTTCACCACGCCGTCCCCGAAGTTTACAGTCTCCACCATGGAGGAGGTCCTGCTGCGCCACGCCCGCCTCCCGAGGCCCACCGCGCCCACCGCGCGCCGCAGCCGCCGCCTCCGCGTCGTCGCCGTCGCGCTGCGGACCAGGCCCACCAGCCTCGCCGTCCCGGGCTTCCCTCCCGCGCCCGCGCCGGCGCCCGAGCACGTGCTGCTGCCGTCGCCGTCCGTGGCCGCGGGCGCCGCCGAGGTGCTGCTCGCCGCGGGGGTGCCGCCCGCCGACCTCAGGCGGGCCGCGGGGATGTGCCCCGAGCTGCTGTCCGTGCCCGTGGGGACCATCACGGCGGCGCTGCGGTTCTTGACCGACGAGGCGGGGGTCCCGGCGGAGGACCTGCCGCGGGTGCTGCGGCGGCGGCCCAGGCTGCTGGTGTCCCCCGTCGCCGCGCGGCTCCGCCCCACGCTCTACTTCCTCCGCGCGCTCGGCGTGCCGGACCTGCCGCGCCGCGCCGACCTGCTCTCCTTCTCCGTCGAGGACAAGCTCCTCCCGCGGATCGAGTTCCTCGAGTCGCTCGGCCTCCCCTCCCGCGCCGCGCGCTCCATGGCGCGCCGCTTCCCGGCGCTCTTCTACTACGGCATCGACGGCAACATGCGGCCCAAGGCGGAGTACCTCCTCGGCGACATGGCCCGGGACGCCGACGACCTCTTCGAGTTCCCGGAGTACTTCTCCTACGCGCTCGCCACGCGCATCGCGCCGCGCCACGAGGCCTGCGCCGCGCGGGGCGTCAGGATGCCGCTGCCGGCCATGCTCCGGCCGGGCGACGACAAGTTCAGGGCCACCCTCGCCGGCTGCGTCGGCTCCACGCCGCCGCGGAGGCGGTCGCCGCTATGGCACGCCTACTGGGTGGACGACGCCGGCGAGGTGGAGGAGATCGGGGCGGCGTCGCAGCCGTGACACGCGACGCGACGCGAGCGCGGCATGTGCATTATTTAGTAGTAAGTAGCGGGCGTTCGTTGCCTGTGTAAGCTGTGCATAAACCACATTGTCATCATCTCTGTAAGTAACATAAATCATCCGGTTGATTTCTCCTGTTAATCAATCATCAATGGAAGCTCTTATAGTTCACACTGATATACCTTCAGCTAATGGCAATGGGTCCCCATTACACTCTTTAAGGTACTCCCTCTATTTACTTTTGATAGTCATATTTTATATTGGCACACAGACTAAGGATAAGTAATTCTACTTATCATCCATTTAAACATGCTACTAGTCATTCCTCGTAAACAAGCAATTCATTAATATTTACATTTCTCAATACCCATGTAGCCAATCATGTGTGGAAGAATGGAGAGTCACGCATTAAATCCGAGAAAGTCATTAAGATGATTTCAGATTTGAAAATATGACTATCAAAAATAAATTTTTCAGATTTAAAAATATGACTATCAAAAATAGATGAAGGGAGTAGTATACTAGATAGATTTCTTAGATCAAAATGGAACAAGTTAGTCGCAGTTCTGAACAACCTACATATATAGCTCTCAATCTCTCATCAATTTGAGTCATTCCAATTTTTATAGGCTCAATACTTCAAATCCGTTTTGGTAGTCATTTCAGTTACACTGGCAGCTCAAAATTTTCGCTTTTGCATCAGTCAGACTTGTTTGATCCAACTCCAGACTCCAGTGCAATGTTTATTTCACCTTGAGAAGTCGTGTATCTTCTTCAGAACTTCCCTATGAATGCTGGATCCTTCAGCTCGTCCTACCTCAAGCCTGCCTTGATTTAATAATTTCTTTCTTTCTTATAAACTCAGAACGTGTGAAGCCACAAGAAGAGCCGTTTATCTCTCTCATACTGCATCTTTTACTGTTTACTTAATCTTTTTAAAAAGTAAAGTGTACTTTGGACTACCTTTTGTTACCTCAATTTTACATCGAACCATCATTTACTTAATCTTTTTTTACTGTGGATTTTTTTTTCATTTAGACCATCAAAACTCTTTTTGTGAGCACATCGGTACCCTATGTCGGCACATCGGCATTTTGGACTAGGTTAGATATGGGTACACAGACGCATTAGGGTGGTCCGACGACGATTTTGATAATTTGGTCCTTTTACCAAACTTATTTTACAACTAGATCTTGATAAAAACTAAAACAAAAATATTCCTTTACCTCAGCATCATAACCCTTGGCGTTGAGACTCAATATCTCAGCACCAAATCCATTTAGTGATGACACCTCTAACGTAAAACTTAAAATGGTACTACACGCAACTAGATAAGCAAGTGAATGTGGTGCATTGGTAAGTGGTCTTGTTTTGTCATTAAGATCATAGTTTGAATCGCCACTGTCGCATGATTATTATTTTTTTTTGACAAGAGGCTGGGAGCTATTCCGAAGTGATAAAACCAAACTGAGAAAGTCATGGCAGTGAAACCGAAGAGGTGGCGCCAAGATGTTGGGTGTCAGTACCCAGGTCCATAAAACTAAGGTAGAGGTTCGATTTTGGTTATAGTTTTATCAAGATCTATTTATAAAAATAAGTTTTATCAAAACGTCAAAGTGTCAAACTTTTCGATGGTCCGAAGTATAACAAAGATAAACATATACCAGTCAAAAGTAAAAGAATGAGATAAATCTAGTCTAAAAGAAAACTAACGTTAAAAAATCTCGAATTATAATTCATTTTTTATTTATAGTATTAAAGAATGTTGCAGTTTATGGCGACTAAATTAAGATCAGACAGTCCACTCATAAAAAAAGAGTCATGTTCATCTTGAGCCGTAAACTTGACCAAGTTCATTGCACCTTTGTGTAGCAGAAACGGAAATTAAGATCAGACAGTTCACTCATAACAAAAGGAGTCATGTTCGTCTTGAGCCGGAAACTCGTCCAAGTTCAATGTACCTTTGTGGAGCAGTGGAGCAGAAACGGGAATATCATACGGAGTACAAAACAGTGAATATAGATGAAGATTTGTTTAGCAGGTGAAAATATGTCCCAGTCTCTAATGTATACACGGTAAGACGATGGAGCCAAAATGTCACGGTATCTTGTTGCGACACAGGAATTTGCGTAATGGATCGAACAACCCAGATAATGCACTTTCTTTTTTTCCCCCTTAGAAACACGCTACAAACGCTGAGCTCACAACAATGCATGCTCACTCCATGAATACGCACAAGCACTCTACCCCTGTAAACACTTTTAAAAGATTAGACTATTACATCTTAATATTAATATTAACGAAGTCATCACATATTTCTAGCTATTTAATGGATGTAACATCTACTTCTCAAAGCATAGTAATTAGTCGTAAATGCCAACACTGTAGGTCAAGTCTAAAACTTAAATCTAGATAGGCTGGTTCTACTCTAAAAAATCTTAGGGCACGCTCATTTTGATGTCATTTTAAATCATATCATTATTCGGTAAAATTAACAAATACGTATAAGTTTATTATTAGATACTGGTAATACTTAGGAAGTTTTGGTAACATCACATTTAGCCTATCCTACCAAAATTTAGCAATATTATTAAACTAAAATTTTGGTATTACTAAATTTTGAAAAGAGTTCATTTTGATACTAATTGTAACAACATAAACGATTTTTGTGTACGAGACCTTACAATTTTTATAAACGGGCAACAATTTGCCGCATTTAGAAAAATTAAGTAGTATTTTCACATACGGCTACTTAAGACGCTCATATGAAAAAAATCGATTTTTCCATACGGGCTCTTAACTGGTCCGCATACAAAAATAAGCTGTACTATTCGATAATATTTGATTCCTATTTCATATCCGGATTTCTGATTCCAAAAAAAAAATATAAAAAATATGATAGAGCTAGATTCCACCCGTGATTCGTTTTCATCCTAGCAAACCTCGCAAAACCGTCATTCGCGAAACGTCATGTTGTTGTGTACTTATTATCCGTTTGGAGGGCAGGGCCGGAGGGCCCGTTGGCACATACTGGTCCTGTGGGCTTTTAAGCGGCGTCGCCGGTGGCCACGCACGCACCCAACTCTCACCTACTCTGCTTCTGCTGCCCTCCTGCATCGACTCACTCCTCCACTCCCGTGTCGTCGTCGTCGTCGTCGTCTGCTTCGTCGGCCGCCGCGCGCCGCCCGCGATGGCGTCGTCGGGGGACAGCAGCGGCAAGCAGCGGAGCGACGAGGAGTGGCGCGCCGTCCTCTCCCCGGAGCAGTTCCGCATCCTCCGCCTCAAGGGCACCGAGTCAGTATCCATCTCCTCCCCTTCTTCCCCCTCCTCCCGTCGCAGCTGCCAGCCACGGCAATCTTCTCTAGTTATTAGTCGCCATGTTCGCCCATCCATCATCCATGTGTTATCCATGGGGAAAGATTCGATTCCCCATCGAGGAAAAATCGCCGCGCTTATTAGCCGCACCCGCAGTTTTGTGAATCGATGATCCGTGCGATGCTGTCGTTCCCTTCCTGCCTGCCTCATCTCCTCAATGGGCTCGTGATGGATGGATTGCTGCCGTGGGGATTTGTCGATTGAGATTGGATTGGATGGAGCTAGATGTTCATCAAATGTTCTCGATTTGTTGTGTTATTGGTTGTTTTTTTTTCTTTTTTGCCACACCAACGAGTGATTCTGGCCCTCTAAAGTGCCATTGACTTTGTTGGTCTACTTAACTATGCTTCATGCCAATGCTTATTGGAGCCTCCTATAAACTACTGCAAGTTGGCCTCTCCTCATATAATTAGTATATAAGCCAACATGTCCAAGTTGACTTACGATAGATACCAAGGAATCTGGAGGGCATAGGGGATGTACGGTCAGTGGCTGAGTGCCACTTGTTAAATCTATATTTTAGTTATAAGTCTGTTCATGCCTGATGGGATTCACAAACCAATATAACAGAGCCATTTTCTGAAACCATGATATAATGAGAGTGTGTGCAGAAAGAATGACAGAGCTGATTTGAGTGTTAGACTTCCCAAAATTACAGATTCATGGAATTAGTTTCATTGCAAGTTCTACAAAATTCTAAATTGGATTCTGGAAGGTGACTAGAGCGCTATCCTAATCTAACAAAGGGATGTATTTGTTTGTATCACTATTGTTTTCCACTATGGGGATGCAATCTAGGCTCTTTATATGTCCACTCCTTTATACAGGCACTGGTTCCTGGTGGAAAATATACAGGCGCTGGAAACGGGTTAGTACATGTTTATAAATGATTTCAAGTGTGTGACACTTGGAAATGGAATGGTTGCCCTCTCATAGAGTTTAGTTGAATAGGAAATTAAAAGTTAGTGCTACCTTCAACATTCCTTCATGTGTACATAATTAGACATCCATGTGTAGTGTTAATTGAACAGTTGTTATGGACCAAAACCTGTTTGACATGGCATTACGAGCTTTAGACATTCAAGGTGCAAAACTGCATATTTTTGGAAGCTTATGCTGCTCCATAGCCTGTGTCTCGTAGAAGAACAGAACATTGAATTATGTGGAACTATGGATTTACTGGTGCAAGTCCATTCTCAATTACTAGGTTGATTGAACTCTGAATGTGTTATGGTTATAGGGACCAGGGCAGCAGCATCCCAGCCCTTAGTTATTTAAATTAGAAGTATGGTTAAATTGGAAAGGGTTAGTTTGGGCCTTAAGCCATTAGGAACTGGAATAAGTAAGAGTTCCAATTGTTAGGGCCACTTGCACAAATATAAGTTAACTAGAAAAGTACCCGTGCGTTGCAACGGGAAGAAAAGACAAGAAAATTGAGAGAAATAGAGTGTGGTTGGCAGATGGCCTAGTGAGATGGGTTGGGATTCCAATTTCTAGCAATGGATAGAAAAGATATATACCTTTCTTTATGATAAAACTTAGGTTGTCGATTTTATTTTAAATTCTCTCTGATGGTTGCAAATTAGTCCTAAAATCTTGTAGTCGCAGTTGCATGGCATTTAATTTTCTCCCGCTTGTCATCTTTTGTCTTCATTGATTTTACTGCTTTTGTGTGAGCTAAGATCTTTTTTTCTATTGAGCCAATATATTTTTCATCCTCATCTGTAAGAGAGAAATTCTCGGTGTCATCTAACTCCGGCATATCAAACTTGAACTATAATCAAATTAACCATCTCTATGCCCATTGCCCATATAAAATTTGATTTCATTGTTCAAATCATCTGTCTCCTAACCCATGCATTGATGCACACGTTACCATATGCCATGGAAAAGTAATCGGTCAACCCAGTAAACAATATCTAGTCAAATCTTGAACAGTAACGGGCCTAAATCAAACTAGCCCAAAATTTCCCTTTTCTTTTCGTTCTATTTTTTTCTTCTGGCCAGATGGCTCCTCGCCACCTCAAATGAATACGTAGTATTTTTATTATGCTGAAATTGCTAGGCCGTTAGGCTGAATCGGATTGCTCGATCCAGCAATCTCACGACATAGGAAAACCGATGTGCACTGTGACAATGTAAAAAAGAAAACAGAAACGATTCGTTAGCGCGCAAGTCACGCTAAACTGACACAGACGGGCCGAACATGCGGACGATGTACACAGGACTCGGAAACAATGAATGAGGATTAGGACACTGCCTCGGAGGATCGGACTAATTGACGGACGAACCAAAAAATTGTTTGAAGCAGATTTTAGAATATCTCAAGTTCTCCCTCGCCTTGTTGTCCCTGACTTCCTGCACGCGACGTCCTTGTTGCCACGGTTCTCTTCCACTGGCTGCCGGGAACAACACCTCCATTGAAACAATCACTACTAGCCCATAACAAAATGAACGGTCAATTGCTAGGTGGATTGAGCTCTGATTGAATGGTCAGGCTGTTTAGATTTTCCTCAATTATCGTCACTTGAGAGGTAAGCTGTTTACTGACGGATATATGTTGGAACACTGCATATGGCATGTTGTCGGGTAAAATAGCGTAGTTATTAAGACCATGACCGCTTTGTTTGTTACTTGATGTGAAATGATTTCTAGAAATGTTGCTACTATGCTGAAGCAGATGTCCTTTCAAAGATATTACTAAACTCTAGTTTCCATCCAGGTTACCTGGAACAGGTGAGTACAACAAGTTCTATGGTGATGGGGTCTACAACTGTGCTGGCTGTGGAACACCCCTGTACAAATCCACAACCAAGTTTGATTCTGGTTGTGGCTGGCCAGCATTTTTTGAGGGACTTCCTGGAGCCATAAACCGAACAGTACGCTTGCATAACCATTTACTAAATCCTTAAAAAGTTCTTTTTTTCTCGTAAGGAATACTGAATTTTGTATTGCGTTTTTGTAGCCGGATCCTGATGGAAGGAGGGTAGAAATCACGTGTGCAGCTTGCGGTGGGCATTTGGGTCACGTGTTCAAAGGAGAAGGCTTCAAGACGCCTACTGATGAGCGTCACTGTGTGAACAGTGTTTCGATCAAGTTCACCCCGGCCTCCTAAATCCTTTCCCAGGTCATTATTATTGGAGGTGAATTCCCCAGGGCTAAAGCTGTGGAAAGCACTACAAAATAATGAATAAAATCACAGAGACATATCCTGTTTGTCCATATATGAATTCATCTCCTGTTAATTTAGCTGTAAACTTGTAACTTAACATTGCTGGGAATGGTAAATGAATGAATAAATGAATCTGGTTCATTAGTTACTGCTCTGTATTTCACGTTGCTTTGTTCAATTATTATATTATATTCAAACCATATGGTTAACTGGTTAAGTACAAATGTGGGTGTGGCCAACAATTTCTTCAGGTAATAATAACTTAACTTAGCAAAGTACTCCATGCTCATTCAAATCATCCTTCGTACTATATCCTAGTGGGGTTGTTTCTCAGATGTATTGCACTTGCAGCACAATATCAGTTTGTCTTTGGTTCGCCAAAATGTACTATTCTGAAACAACTTGAAGTACAATTGATTATATTTTGGCCAAACAGGTAGTGGCAGAAACTAGCTTCCAGGCATACCAAGATTTTCTGCTTAATTATTGCTCAGATAAACTGTGTACTCCACCCGGATTTAGTATCCGTACAGTAGAGGATGCGGTGCTGATGGCGACGGCCAACGTGTGCATATGGTCCCAGTGTTCGTAATCGATCGGAGAGGAGCAGTTAGATGAGCATGCATCATCAACTTTTCACTTCGTCAGTGAGGGAAGGGCCCTCATGTTTAGGAAATTGACCAGGATTATTCAGCTAAATGAACAGTCCTGACAATATCTCCCTTCAATTACTTCCAGATTGCAGCTTTGCAAGCGCTTGGCCTTCAAAAGAAATTTTGAACTTTGTTTCCTTTTCACCCCGATTACATGAACAGCAGGCACTGCGCCATCATATTCACCACAAAAGCCCACGATCTTAGCTTCATTAACCCAAGAGAAACTTCAAACTTTCTATTGCTACACGTATAAGAAAGGGATCTCCTATGGAACATTTGGCAAAAAATCCCTTTGATCTCAACTATTTTTTGATTGTATGATTGCATCAATAGTATATTATCCTTCCGGAGAAGACAAGGAGCTTCCGGAGACAGAGGAAGAGTCCGAGTACGATTCTTGACACGGCTCTGATAATCCAAAATTCGATAGAAAACCCATCAAATTCCTGTCAATGATTGCATCGCAAAACCAATTATAAAAGTTACCAAATGAAGACATTACTTGCTGTATCAATTATAACAATAATCCTGCTTTAAGTAACTATCCGTGCTGAAGCATATCCGTGTTTCTGGGATGCAGGAAAATCCTGCCAAAAATGCGACTCTGTGACAGCTTTGATTGCCTGATACCGACCGTGTACCGTGGCTGTGTGAGTGTTACACAAACCACTGGAACCAGTACGTATTTTAACCAATCAAACGGCTAAAAATTGCACTTATATATGCACATGTACACACTACGGATACCAAACGACTCTTTAATTACGTCATTACGCTACTACGACGAGGACCATCTAAACCGACGCACAAAGTACTCACTCATCCCTCTACCACGTATAGAGAGCGAGAGCTACGTCGTCGAACACTCTAGGCGCGTGTAACGCGTGTTCACCGCGGCGGCGTCGCCGTCGTCGACGTCCATGGCGTCCACGGTGAGGCGCGCGTTCCGGTGCCTCCTCGACGGCCTCCGCTCCCTGCCGCCGCGCCGCCGCCGCGCGGGCGCCGGCGGCGGGGCCGCGCGGAGGTCATCCAAGGCGGCGCCCCGCGTCGTCGTCATCCGCCGGTTCAGCGGCAAGCTGGATCGCCGTCGGGCCAGCGCGTCGGGAGGGCCGCCGACGCCGCCTGCGGCGGCGGCGGCGGCGCCCGTCACCATCCGCGTGGCGACGTTCAACGCCGCCATGTTCTCCATGGCGCCCGCCGTGCCGTCGCCGCCGGATCACGACGACTACGACGGCGACGGCGAAGGGTGCTCCACGTGGCGCGCCCCGGCCTCCTCCTCCGGCGGCAGCCGGCTGGCGCGGCGGCCCAAGAAGGGCATCCTCAAGGCGCAGAGCAGCTCGAGCGCGCCGCCGCCGCCGCCGTCCCCCGAAGTCGAGCTGCTGCGGCGGCGGCGGCACGTGTCGATCAGCCTCCCCGACGACGACGACGAGATCGCCCCGCACCACAGAAGGAACAGCAGCAGCAGCAGCAGCAGCGCCAGCGCGCGCCTCGTGACGAGGCCGGCGGCGGCGACCAGCGGGAGCGGCAGGTGGAGGTCGGTGTTCGGGGCGGTGTGGGAGCACCAGAACCATTACCAGCAGCGACGGCAGAAGCAGAAGCAGAAGCAGGAGCGGGAGCAGGCGACGGCGAGGCACCGGAGCAGCAGCGGCGCGGCGCGGCGGCGGAGCGTGGCGGAGGCGCTGCGGGAGGCGGGCGCGGACATGGTGGCGCTGCAGAACGTGCGCGCGGAGGAAGGGCGCGGGATGCGGCCGCTGTCGGAGCTCGCCGAGGGGCTCGGGATGCGGTACGTGTTCGCCGAGAGCTGGGCGCCGGAGTACGGCAACGCCGTGCTCTCCCGCTGGCCCATCAAGCGCTGGAACGCGCGCCGCCTCGCCGACCACTTCGACTTCCGGTACGTACGTCACACCCGCGACACACGTCAGATCGTCATCACCACGCACGCCATGGCCGCCACCATGCGTGCCTACATTTGCTGCCTTACTAGCTTCGAATCACGCATATCTTTTTCACGAACACGTAAAAGGATTGCACGGCGGTATATTAGAAGAAAGCAATACCGAATCATGCATATCATTTGCATTGCAGTAATTACATCGTCTCATATCTTAATTACATTACATTACACGTGCGCACTTACATACATGCCATCCAAAGTTCCAAACAATTATGAAATTTTGACATTTGGGAAAAAAATTAATGACTATAGATTATGCTGTTATTAAGGCTAGTAAAATCAAATCAAATCCAGCTGAGCATAGTTTTACACTATTTACGACCAAATTAGCGTTTCTCCCTCCTCCATATGTGGTTCAAGTTTAGTTTTGCATCTGTGTTAGATGACAAATTGCCCCTTGACTATCAATAACGAAGCTTTATACTATTTGATGATATGCACGAAACGAGGACACGTTGCTATCAAAGTCTATCCCTTCAGTAAGTAGAAAACCACCAATATAATACTATTTGTATTTCTGCATACATAGGAGAGCAAGTCAAAACTTTTGACAGAAACAACAAAAAGTAGCTGATTTTTCTTACTTTCTCCATATTCTTAAGTTAAGTGGCAATTATCATATACGACAATGGGACGATGACAATTTAGATGAGAAGGGCATACGTATGTATGCACTTTGGCAAGTACAATCACAAAAGATTAGTCATGGAGTAAGTGTAGCTGAAATGTTGCCTTTTTTCCCCCACTTAATATAACAGTAGTTGATGAAATGCTTAGCAGTTCAGCTGCTGAGATGCTTACCCAATGGACTCAGCCTGATCTAAGCTAGTAACTGAGCTAAAAGGAGAATTAGGTTAGCTGCTTCATAAGCATCGAGAGGCCAACATCTAGCAATCAGCAAAGGTTGCTGCAGTGTCGATCGATGGGTCACAATTATTATCCGCGACAGGATTAGTAGCGTGACATTATCAAATTATTAATGCTTTGGTTCTTCATTAAACTAGCTGCCACAGTAGGCCACACGGGCACCTCGATCGCACTTAATAGGTCCCGCCGGTGTACCCAACGTGAGTATACATACGCACATTCTAGCTCGGAGACAACAAACAACAAAAAATGCGTTCATTTGAATCAAACATGCATTATAGGGGCTCATTTAAGACTCTAATCGAATTAATAATGGTTATTTTATTCAGCAGGTGAGAAGCGTGACTCATCCATCCACTGCACAAATTAAGACAAAATGTCCCCAAAATCCTAAATTAATTCCAAGCTAGTAGCATTCAGAACATAAATAGTTGGAGAGAGTAGCAGCGTATGTGTATGATTAGGCCTGAATTTGGTATGGTTAAAATCCTAGATAAGTTAATGATCAAGAACAAGGAACACAGTAAGTAAGAGAGTAACAAACATATTAATAAGGCATTAATGGTGCAGGAACGTGATGAGAGCCACCATTGAGGTGCCGGGAGCCGGGGAGGTGAACCTGTACTGCACCCATCTGGACCACCTCGACGAGGGCCTCAGGATGAAGCAGGTCGACTCCATCCTCCGCTTCGCCGACGGCCACCACCACATCCTCGCCGGCGGCCTCAACGCCCTCGACGCCTCCGACTACTCCGCCGACCGCTGGGCCGCCATCGCCAAGGTACATACCACACACCAATCAATCTATTAAGTTGCATGCACCAGCCAGTTGCAACTAAAAGCCTAAGCTGATAGGGAAAGATGGACAATTCACTTTATACATTCCAACACAATCAATCAATCGATTTTGTCCAAGAAACCATCCTGATCCATCCTGATCATGGGCAATTTCCGGCCGGCGGCGGCGTGCGTGCAGTACCACGAGGAGATCGGCAAGCCGCCGCCGAAGTCGGAGGTGATGAGGCACCTCAAGGCGAAGCGCTACGTCGACGCCAAGGACTTCGCCGGAGGGCGTGACGCCGGCCTGGTGGTGGTTCCCAATGGCCAAGGTTAGATTACTGACAAATCTTATCGCTTGCAGAATTATTCCGGCGATCTGAAGCTGCTGCTAATTAACATCGCTGAGATCTTCTTCTTCTTCTTCTTCCATGGTGGTACGGTGCAGATGTGCAGGGGACGTGCAAGTACGGCACGAGGGTGGACTACATCCTGGCGTCGCCCAACTCGCCGTACAACTTCGTGCCGGGGTCGTACGCCGTCGTCCCGTCCATGGGCACCTCGGATCACCACATCGTCATGGTGGACGTCGCCGTCGCCGCCCACGATGGCGGCGGCGGCGGCGGCGCGGCGAGGCGGCGGCGGAGGCGGAGGGTGGTGAAGGTGACGAACAAGAGTTCGGCGAGAGGGATATTCGCCGATTAGACTAGATGGATTATTATTGGGCTTCTGGTTTCTTCTTCCTTTTGAGTGAACTGTATATGTGTCTCAGTTTACGGCCCAAACACTTTTTTTTGGTGGGGATACGGCCCAAATAATTATCTGGCCGAATAAGCCCATTAGTAATATGAACCGAATGGTAGCGAGCGATCCAATCTTGGGGTTTGGGTTCCAGGAAGGCCCGTCAACATTTTCGTACGCACACAGAACATTGTCGTATGGAATTATTCATCCGATGCCCCTTAACTTGTCAACGAATCTGATTTTCGTCCTTCAACCAGAAAACCAGATACAACGGGTCCCTCAAGTGTTAAAACCGGTGTAATATATAGGTCCCATGGCGGTTTTAGTAGACGTGGCGCTGATGTGGCTAATTTCACTCGGTCTTCATCTGACGTGGCATTGACGTGGTATATATGAAATAAAATTTAAAAATAAAACAAAATATATGGTCCCACACGTCAGTCAAAATAATAAAATTAAAAATAGTGAGACCCACATATCAGTGTCCCCATTCATCCACCTCATCCTTTTTCTCTGTCTGCTCTCCTCCTCCTCCCTCTCTTCTCTATCACCTCATCATCTTCTTGTTAGATATCATGTGTATATCTGGATGTGTCCGGCTGGTTGATCCTATCCTTTAGCTGTTGAGATAGCGTTGTAATCCAGGTTAGTTGGAGATATATCAGCCGGACTATTCTCGTCTTGTAAACCACGATGCAGGTTGTTTGCATCATATATTAATACATGCGACGCACCCAAGAGGAGGTGACGATCGCTTCCTGTCCTCTGACTTTCTTCTTGGTATCAGAGCCTTCTCCTCTTTCAATCCAATCTACTCATGGCGAGCTCGTCCCAATCTCCGGCCGTTGGCTCTCTTGGAGGGATCACGGTCACGGAGAAACTAGGCAAGGGGAACTACCTGATCTGGAAGGTTCAGGTCCTTGCGGTGATTCGAGGAGCACGGCTTGACGGCTACCTCACCGGCGCCATAAGAGCGCCATCGCCGACCACCATCATCAAGAAGAGTGACAAAGATGTTGAGGTCCCCAATCCAGCGTTCGACGAATGGATCGCGAACGACCAGCAGGTACTAGGATATCTGCTAACCACTATGAGTAGAGATGTTCTCTCCAAGGTGGCGACGTGCGGATCTGCTGCCGCGCTTTGGAGCGTGGTCGAAGGGATGTTCTCCTCAGCGACAAGGGCACGCTCCATCAACACCAAGATTACACTGACGAACACAAAGAAGGGCGACCTCAGCGTTGCCGAATACGTCGGCAAGATACGGGCGCTAGCTGATGAGCTAGCGACCTCCGACAAGCTCGTCGACGAAGAAGACCTAATCTCGTTTATCATTGTGGGATTGGATGAAGATTTTGAACCCATCATTTCCTCTTTGGTGTCAAAATCTGAACATGTGAGCCTAGGGGAGGCTTACTCCCAGTTGCTCAGCTTTGAGCAGCGCATGAAACTCCGTCAGGAGCACTCGGCGAACCTTGCTCACAGAGGGCGGGGTCGTGGACAACAACAACAAGGCAGAGGTTGCGGCAATCAAGGTAATCAGCAGCAGCAACAATGCGGTCGCGGCGGAAAAAATTGCGGGAGAGGGCGCGGCAACACCTCCTACCAGCGACAAGGTGGAAACAACACCGACAACCGTCCCAAGTGCCAACTGTGCTACAAAAGGGGGCACACTGTGATTGATTGCTGGTACAGGTATGATGAAGACTTTGTACCTGACGAAAAATATGCAGGAACAGCTGCGTCCTATGGTGTGGACTCCAATTGGTATGTGGACACGGGTGCTACAGACCATATTACTGGAGAACTTGAGAAGCTAACCATTCGGGACAAGTACAAGGGCCAAGATCAGGTGCAAGCTGCGAATGGTGCAGGTATGGTAATCACTCACATAGGTCGTTCAATTGTTAACACCCCATCTCGGCCTCTGTACTTGAATAACATCTTATATGTTCCAAATGCCAACAAAAATTTGATTTCAGCATATCGGCTTATGGTTGATAACTCAGCTTTTCTTGAATTGTATCCTAAACATTTTTCTCTCAAAGATCAGGCCATGAAGGAGATACTTCTTAGAGGACGCTGTCGTGGCCGGCTGTTCCCGCTTCCATCTTCATCCCCTTCAGCTCATCAAGACAAGGAAGCCCTAGCTGCCACTACACCGTCCCTCGAGCGGTGGCATTGCCGCCTTGGTCATCCTTCCTATGCTATCGCAGAAAAAGTAGTTCGTAATCATGATCTACCAGTGTCAGCTGAGTCCAATAAAATGTTGGTGTGTGATGCTTGTCAAAAAGGGAAAAGTCATCAGTTGCCATTTCCCAAGTCTTCTAGTGTCTTTAGTTTTCCCTTAGAATTGATTTATTCAGATGTTTGGGGTCCCGCTCCTGTTGCCGGGGGTGGAAAGAAATATTATGTCAGTTTTATTGATGCTTTCAGTCGCTTTACATGGATTTATTTTCTTAAGCACAAGTCTGAAGTTTTTCAAAAGTTTTATGAGTTCTAAAGTCTTGTTGAACGTATGTTCGATAGGAAAATTATAGCTATGCAAACCGACTGGAGAGGCGAGTATCAAAAGTTGAATACTTTTTTCAGCAAAATAGGCATTACACATCATGTGTCCTGTCCACACACACATCAACAGAATGGCTCAGCTGAATGAAAACATCGACACATTGTTGAAGTTGGTCTCTCTCTTTTAGCACATGCTTCCTTGCCTTTAAAATTTTGGGATGAGGCATATCAATCTGCTGTATATTTAATTAATCACACACCCACTAAAGTTCTTGGTTTTTCCTCTCCACTTGAATATCTGTTTAAACAAACCCCTGACTATCAAGCCCTTAGAACCTTCGGGTGTGCGTGTTGGCCTAATCTTAGGCCTTACAACAATCACAAAATGCATTTTCGCTCTAAGCGCTGCACCTTCCTTGGATACATCCCCATTCACAAAGGCTTTAGGTGTTTGGATTCATCTACTGGCCGCATTTACATTTCCCGTGATGTTGTATTTGATGAGTCCGTTTTTCCCTTAACCGAACTAAATCCTAATGCTGGAACCAATCTCCGTAAGGAGATCAACCTTTTGCCGACTGACATGATTAGTTTTGGGGTTGTTCAGTTGGATGATCATGTGAGTTATTATCCTGCAATTCCTGCTAATCTGTCTCCTGCAGAAAATTTGGAGCAAAACGCAACAGCAAATACAGAAAATGATGCAGCAGAAGATGCAGCCGATTCTGGTGCAGCCGAACACCAAGCAGCTGACAATATCTCTGATGCTGCACAAGAGGACAGTAGTCCTCTGTCCGCCGCGCATCATTCTGCACACGAGGATGCTGCCGATGAATCATCTGCAGCTCCGTCGCCGGCTGACCAGTCTTGTCAACCACAGGCGCAAGGTTCCTCTGCGCCAGGGGGAGAGCCACAGCGTCCAGCTACTCGACCAGTCACCCGGCTTCAAAAAGGTATCAGAAAAGAAAAAATATATACCGATGATACTGTTAAGTATGGTTTTCTCACCACTACCGGAGAACCTAGAGATTTAGCTGAGGCTTTACATGATACAAACTGGAAGCATGCTATGGATGCGGAATTTACAGCTTTATTACACAATAAAACTTGGCACTTAGTTCCTCCACAAAAAGGAAAAAATGTCATGGATTGTAAATGGGTTTATAAGATTAAAAGAAAACAAGACGGCAGTCTAGACAGGTACAAAGTTAGACTAGTTGCTAAAGGTATTAAACAGAGATATGGTATAGATTATGAGGACACCTTTAGCCCTGTTGTTAAAGCTGCTACTATCAGACTTGTTCTGTCTATTGCTGTGTCTAGAGGCTGGACTCTAAGGCAATTAGATGTACATAATGCTTTTCTTCATGGAATACTTGAAGAAGAAGTCTACATGAAACAACCTCCTGGGTATGAAGACAAAGCAAATCCAGGTTGTATTTGCAAACTTGATAAGGCTTTGTATGGTTTGAAACAGGCGCCTAGAGCATGGTATGCTAGGTTGAGTCAGAAATTGCAGCAACTTGGATTTCAGGGATCCAAGGCAGATACCTCATTATTCTTTTACAACAAACAAGGTCTTACAATCTTTGTACTTATTTATGTTGATGATATAATTGTTGCTAGTTCGAGGCAGGATGCAGTTCTAACTCTGTTGCAAGATCTTCAGAAAGAATTTGCCTTAAAGGATCTGGGAGACTTGCATTACTTCCTGGGTATAGAGGTAAATAAGATAAGTAATGGCATTATTCTTACTCAAGAAAAATATGCTAATGACTTACTGAAGCGAGTTGGCATGATTGATTGTAAACCTGTAAGTGCATCGTTATCGACTAGTGAGAAGCTCACTTTGCATGAAGGAGATTTGTTGGGTCTCAATGATGCCTCTAATTATAGAAGTGTAGTTGGAGCACTTCAGTATTTAACTCTGACTAGGCCAGATATTGCTTTTCCAGTGAACAAGGTATGTCAGTTTTTGCATGCTCCTACTACGATTCATTGGGCTACTGTGAAAAGGATACTAAGATATTTAAAACAGTGTACTAAACTTGGTTTAAAGATTAGTAAGTCAAAGTCTATGCTTGTAAGTGGATATTCAGATACAGATTGGGCAGGAAATGTAGATGATAGAAGATCTACAAGAGGTTTTGCAGTGTTTCTAGGAGATAATTTGGTTTCTTGGAACGCAAGAAAACAGGCCACAGTTTCTAGGTCTAGCACTGAATCAGAATACAAGGTATTGGCCAACGCTACAGCAGAAATCATGTGGATACAGACCTTATTGGCAGAACTGGGTGTTTCTAGTCCTCTAATGGCCAGGTTATGGTGTGATAATCTTGGTGCTAAATATTTGTCATCTAATCCTGTTTTTCATGCTAGGACTAAACATATTGAGGTTGATTATCATTTTGTACGAGAAAGAGTACAACGCAGGTTGCTTGAAGTGGATTTTGTTCCTACAGGAGATCAAGTAGCTGATGGATTCACAAAGGCTTTATCGGTAAGGCAATTAGAGAATTTTAAGTACAATCTCAATCTAGGTAGATTGTGATTGAGGGGGAGTGTTAGATATCATGTGTATATCTGAATATGTTCAGCTGGTTGATCCTATCCTTTAGCTGTTGAGATAGCGTTGTAATCCAGGTTAGTTGGAGATATATCAGCCGGACTATTCTCGTCTTGTAAACCACGATGCAGGTTGTTTGCATCATATATTAATACATGCGACGCACCCAAGAGGAGGTGACGATCGCTTCCTGTCCTCTGACTTTCTTCTTCTCCCTTCTCCTCGCCAACGCCTGCACGCCGCCCACGCTGCCAGAGACCGGGAGGGTGGTGGAGGTTGAGGGCCAGATCACCAGGTTTCATGCGCCTTCTTTTCCATCTTGCCGCGCACAGGCCACGACGCTGTCCTGCTCGGCCGCTGGCCACGCTACCATCCTCCGCTGCCGTGGGCCACGCCGGCTCCTCTCCCCCGCGGCGCCACCTAGAGTTGCTGCGGTTGTCGCAACCGTTGCAAGAAGCTGCAGCCGCCACCACCACCGAAAGCTCCTGCAGGCGTTGTCATCAGGCGTTGTCATCGCCGTCGCCATGGTAGGGCGTGGTTGATGTAAAAGTTTACTATAGGCTACGCCTATTGATTATACTAAATTATACTACAGGCTTGGCTGATGTAAAAGTTTTCTATATAAATTAAAGTTATTTTAAAAATCAAACAAATCAATCTTTTAAGTTTATAAAAAATTATACTCGATTAATTATATACTGATAACTTGTATCATTCTATGTGCTATCAGAATCTCCCTGTACTCACTACTCACACAGTATGAAAATGGAACTGAAAATTCCCACGCGCGTGGAGGATTCATAGTTTCATATATACCACACGTACCGACGTACGACGGTTGAAGGCATCACATCCCCAGGAGAAGTCGCGATGAACTTCAATTTTTCAGACCCAAATTTTCCAATTCACTAGTGAAAAATCTAAACATTACACCAGAGTTCTGAAAATGTGAAGCATGAGCCGGGCTGGTTCCAATGTATTCAGCTGACTTACCAATTAATTGGAGACCGGTGATCATGTGCATACAGGCATATCATGTCTTGTCAGGTCAAACAATATGTTTCTGGCCGGTCCACTAATAGCTACTCCCTTCACCCCACTTTAAGCGCAGCCAGGATTTCGTGTCCAACTTTAATGGTTCGTTTTATTTATTCTTTTTTAAAAAATAAAAAACATAAACCACACATAAAGTACCGTTCATGTTTTATCATCTAATAACAATAAAAATACTAATCATAAAAAAATTAAAATAAGATGGACGATCAAAGTTAGACACAGAAACTCATGGCTGCATTTAAAATAGGATAGATGGAGTAGTATAGGTAACACAGTAGATTGATCACATGAGCGAGATCATTTTTT